GGCCGGCCACGGCGCCCCCGGGCGAGTCTAGCGCTTCCTTAGTATGGTTAACAGATTTCGCAAGTAATAACACTGGAAACCAAAACCCACTGCCCTCGGGTGGATTCCGACTCATAGCGACCCTATAGGACAGAGTAGAACTGCCCCACAGGTTTCCAAGGAGCGCTGGTGGTTTCGAACTGCCCAGCTTTTGGTTAGCAGCCAAGCTCTTAACCACTGCACCACCAGGACTCCTATTTTGGGCGTACTCATATTAAAACTTTATTCTTTATCTGACATTCACATTTAACTGGGTGTCCTGTACTTCAGGAGCCCTGGTGGCACAGTGGTTAAACCCTCGGCTGCTAACCTAAAGGTCAGAGGTTGGCCCACCAGCCGCTCCCCAGGAGAAAGATGTGGCAGTCGGCTTCCGTGAACACCGCAGCCTTGGAAACCCTATGGAGCAGTTCTACTCTGTCCTACAGGGTCGCTAAGAGTCAGAATCGACTCCAGGCACCGGCTTTGTCCTGTATTTTATCTCGCCGTCCTAACTAGCAGGCTGGTGGAGGCCTTGAGCCACACACAGTCTACACAATACAAGCCGCTCCTCTGGAGCCTTGTCTGGCTCTGCAACAAGTGCAGCCTGGTGCTGACAGTGGTAGCACAGAAAGTTCAGTAATTCTCCGGTGTTGGCGCAGGGAGCCCTTCACCTGGGGGACAGGCAAGCGCCAGGCCCAGCCAACGACGGAGAGGACGCAGCGACATTGGAATAATGCTCCACACTCAACACTCGACTCTTCGCTATAAATTCGGCTGTCTTAAATTCTTGGCTTTACTCTCAACTAGCAGCATGTTCCTAAAAAGGGACACCTCATCCTTTCTGTATTAGGAGAGTCGTCGAAACACATTAAAGGCAAGAAAAACCACAGCAGCTCTGGCTAGAGACCGTCGAGCGCAAAGCGAGCCGGGGACCACCTTGACCGCCTCCCCGCCTTCCGCTTCCTCCAGGCGGGTGACGGGCGCGCGTCCCTGTCGACAGTGCGCAGGCGCACCCGACGCGGCACTTGCGCGCGGGCGGGAAGATGGCGGCCGGGTTCAAGTGAGTGTCGCCGGCGGCCGCCATGCGGCTGTCGGCCCCCCTTAACATCGGAGCTACGAGTCCCTCACCTGGAAGCGCTCTCCGCCGGGGTCTCACTTTTTTCCCCGCCGAAGCAGGCGACCAGGGTGGTTGTGGTGAAAGGAAAGGGGCTATTCCCCTGCGGGACGGGAGATGGCAGGGGCTGGGCGCATGGAGCCCTGCACCCACTGCGAGCGCTCCTGAGCTGGCGGCTGGGACGTGCAGACCCAGGAGACACAGTTGTCATTTTTTAGAATGCGTTCCATCTGACTCACGTGCGCCTTGTTCTCCTTCCCCCTTATTTATTTCTTAAAAGAATGGTGGCTTGTTCGGAAAATGTTAGTTAAGCCTCTGTGCCGCTGTGGTGAAGCCCTTGGACGCCTGAGCGCAATGTTTTTAAATGGATAAAATAGGATACGAAAGGAAGCCAATTATATTGAAGTACATTTATGTATCTGTATAAACTCTGAATTCTTGATATGTTAATATGAGTGTTTTTTAAAATGAACTTTCTTAAACAACAAGATCTTGTGGCGGATCTAGTAACTACTGGAATTTCAAAGTAATGATGAGCCCAAAGATACCCTCGACAAAAGGGAAGTATCTGTGGGTGTTAAAGTCACAGGTACTGTTAATATTATTTTGGCTGATAGTCTGCAGTCATAAATGAAGGACATACTAAATTTCAGTTATAGGATAGTGAAAATAAAGATGTAATTTTTCATACTAGGTTAAAAATCCCAGCTTCAGAGCAAGAATGGGATGATTATTTTAACACCCGGATTAATCCATTTTTAAAGATGTCCAAGGGTTTGGTCTTTAATCCTATAATTGTCTAAGGAGGAGTGAAGAATAGTCATTTAGTGCAACTGCTACTATAATGGGGCTCTGTTTTTTATAATTACTTATAGGTGGCAACGTAAACATCAGAACTCATGAAAGAAACTTAGTTACAAATTTTGGAGATTGGCTGAATCACCAGACCCTTAAGATCTTTGCCAGTTTTGGGATTTATGTTAAAATTCTTTAATTTACCTGATAAATTTTTAACTCATGCGTTTCAGAACCGTGGAACCTCTGGAGTATTACAGGAGATTTTTGGTCAGTAATGTCAATGTCTTTTTGATAACAATATCATATGCTTCTTTTAAGGACAAATTTTGAATAGTTCATTTGGATTTGAATTTATTTTGCATTAACATGGTTTAATGTGTTTTACCTGATTGTGTGTAAAATATACATGTATATGTTGCATTTTCATATAAATAAACATTTATTTAGAAAGAGAACTGCCGTCCTGATGGAAGAGAACTTGGTGAATTCAGAACCACCACTGTCAACATAGGTGAGATATTTTGAGTTCTAAAATAGGATGTTGAAGTTAATCAGTTTTTAAAATAGTATTTTTCTTAGTTTTTGTATAGTAGTAGAGAATTATTTGTAAAGTTTTCTTTTTTAACCTATCATCCTCTCAATTAATAAATTCATTTAAATTTCAAAATAACTGTAAAGTGTTTTTTCCCCTTCCTTCCTTCAAAGCCACAAAGACAAGGCTTTCTTATGTGCCTAATACTTATTGAATACTCTTGTTGCAAATACGGAATTTTCTATTTTCAACTGTACGATATTCCCAAGTTCTAGCCTATGAGCCGCTTAAACATATGTCAGCCAAATCCTACCATGTCTAAGGAATTTGAATGATTTCTGACCATTAGATTTATCTGTACAACAATCCTGTGACGGTGAATGAAAAATGATTAACTCAAGTTTAAGGACAGGCACATATTTCTTCAAAGAGTAATTTCAAATAGTTGTACCATTTTTAAATCAGTGACTTCCGAGCTAGGGATAAATTTTCGTAAGCAACTGAGACTACAGATGTGTAGAAAGCAAAAATTATATTTAGAAAACTGAGGTTAACATTTTAGTTATTACGTAGATAATTCTGTAGCTATTTTTTTTTTAATGAACTTTTTCATTTTACCTAAATACTTATCTTTTCAGGTTCAATTAGTACTGCCGATGGTTCTGCTTTAGTGAAGCTGGGAAATACGACAGTAATTTGTGGAATTAAAGCGGTAGGTTTAGTATGTATCTTGTTGATAGGAATTGCCAAAGCAGACCCATGTGTTTATTAGATGGTAATACACACTTACAATTCTACTCTTGATTAGGTAGCTGGGTGTCTGTTGTTTAGTATTTATTTTAATTTCCAAAGAGCCTCTACCTGTGAGTAGTAGATAATACAGCCCAAGTTTAATGATTCTTAATTATAATTTAGGAACATTTGTCAAATGTATCAAAATAAAACTGTTTTTAATCTCACCACACTTTATTTTTAGAAACTGGTTATGTCATTACGAGAGATTTTTGGCAGCATTCTTTTAGCCAGTGATGGCATTTAATCTGTGTGAAATGTGTAGAACATTGATACTGTTCAAGAGAAAAGTGTGAGGGAGTAATAGTTACCATTTACTGAGTACCTGCTATATTCCAGGCTCCTTGCTAGGTGCTTTACAGAATTATCTAGCTTATCATTTGAGGTGTTATTTTTCTGTCTCCTTTGTTTTACAGATGAGGTTCAGTAACTTGTACAGGTTTACAAGGTTGATAAATAAACATACATGTGGCTTCAAAGCCTGTGCTTTTCTACTATACTACTCTACGCTCTGGGTTATTTAACCTGAGTTCAGATTCCTCCTCAGTAAACCTGGGGTGATAACTAGCAGTAAGATTTGAACATTTACTTCTTGTCAGGTCTTGTGTTAGGGACTTAACGTGCATATTCTCATTCGACCCTTCTAACAGTCCGCTGGAGTCGGCACTATTATTTTTCCCCTTTTACAGATGAAGTTGGAGGTCAGAGGTTAAATAACTTGCTCAAGGTCTCTCAGCTTTTGCTGTGATTTCATCACACCAGCAGTTCCTAAATCTGTGCCAGTATCACCTGGGGATTTAAGTTCAGATTCTTGGCTACTGAATCAGTAGAAGAGGGTGGGGCAGACATCTGATGAATATTTTTAAAAAGATCTCTAGGAAATGTTAATAAGCAGCACTGTAGTGCAGTCCACTGCACTGCACTGCCTTCTTACCTTGCAGAGCTATTGTGAGGATCTGAGCCAATATGCTTAGGCCCCTGACGTGATTCCCCAGGCATGATGGGAACTAATGATGTGGTAGTCACTAGCTAACGTGGTCTTTGGTAGGGCCTTCCACAACTGACTGCTGAACTGTCTTCACTATTTTTAGTAGCGGCTTTCAATAGGAAACATTTGTTTGCTTTCCTAGGAATTTGCAGCACCGCCAACAGATGCCCCTGATAAAGGGTATATAGGTAAGTTAAATAATTGTATAATTTTAATACAAGTACTTTAACACATTTAATACTAAGATTGTAATTAAGTCCTAGTCATTGAGTGTTTGTGTTGAAGAAGAAAATGATTCCTAAGATTGAGGAATATACAGGAAGAAAGCCAACATTGTTGAAGTTTTCTGTACATGATGTGTTAGCAGAAAGACAGCGTAATAGCAAGATAGAGAATTTTGTAAATTTAACCTTTATCAAACTTGTTACCTATGGAATAGAGAAGCAAAATTTCATTTGTAGGGTAGCTATATAGGAGGTGTATTTTAACTTACCATTGGGTTTTATAGAAGCATTGTTTTTCAGTCAGTCAGTCAATTTTTGTTTATACATTTAGACACTGCAAGCTTTTCTGTTTCCATAAAGATTCTTTTATACTACTGTGCAGTTTTTTTTCTGGTCTTGGACCTTTTACGGTAGGAAACATTTAAAAATATGCAAAAAACAGTTGAGTGTGAATAGAGGGGCTATCTTTCGGGTATTTTGAATGAAATCTAGAAAACTTTGGAAGGTTTAGGAGGAATAGGCCTAATGCAGATGCTTTCGTTTTTTTGTATTTTCTTCTTTGTATGAAAAAAAAATTGGAAAAATTTAAAGTTTATTTTGCCTAACCTTAGGGAGTCTTATGAAAACCAAGAACAATATAATTGAAATGTTACAATGCTTTCCACTTTGGAAAGCCTATCCATGGCCACAGTTGCCTTTGTAGTAGACTGGTAATACTTTTAACACTTAAATACACCTAAAGCCAGTTTAGTTCATAGCTACAGAATGTTTATTTCAGTTCCTAATGTGGATCTACCACCCCTGTGTTCATCGAGATTTCGGTCCGGACCTCCTGGGGAAGAGGCCCAAGTGGCTAGCCAGTTCATTGCAGATGTCATTGAAAAGTGAGAGCATTATGATAAAATTTGACTATTACTCATTTTCAGATAGTTTGACCTTTCATTTACTGTGCTCTTTGTTATTAAATCAAGTTCACAGATAATTCAGAAAGAGGACTTATGCATTTCTCAAGGAAAGGTAAGAGGAGTAAAAAAGCAATGGGCTTTTTATTAATTCTTAAGTATTTTTAAGGGGAGAAGTGAAAAGAATTAAATCACAAAGGACTTAAGTATGGAAAGCTAGAGATCAGTAAAAATATATCCTTAATTATTTAAATAAAGTACATAGCCCATAAAAATTATTTCCTCACTGAGATGTTACGTTTTAAGCTGAGGTGATTTTTTCCTTAATTTCTGATCATGCTGGCATGTTTATGGTGAATCTACATGGTAAATTCCAAGTTGGCTTGAAAATTTAGAACTAGATTTATTAGAACCCAGAGAAGGTTTTCCTATTTGGTTATATATACTGATCAGCTCTGTAAAACCTGAACATTTCATGTACTAAGGTTACTATGGGAAGGTATATTTTGAGTCAGCTGGGACATTAAAAAATTCCCCTTATCTGCTAACCTAACAAAAGGAAATTCCTTCTACATTTATGGCCCCATTGAGGGAAACTGAGATGTTCCATTGACTTGTCAGCTAGGTAGTCAAAAGTCAGCTTTCACCAAACCTGTCTACTATTTTTTGGTTTTCTGTTTTATAAGGGTAAAGCATTCTTTAAGGTTTTTTAGCCTTGAAAATTATGTTGTCTGACAAAAGGTTCTGAGGTTCATATATCTAAGCAAGTTGTATGTTCTAACCAACTGAACGCTCTGATTTTTTTTTTGTGTGTGTGTGTGTGTAAACTGTATTTTAGCTTGCTTGGGTTCTATACTGTGATCTCATTTGCCTCGACTACGATGGAAACATTTTGGATGCCTCTACGTTTGCTTTGTTAGCTGCTTTAAAAAATGGTAAGCAAGTTTAATAAATGGCAGTCTTCCTACTCAAAAGAAACTCATTGCTGTGGAGTCGATTCTGACTCACAGCGACCCTATAGGACAGAGCAGAACTGCCCTGTAGGATTTCCGAGGAGCGGCTGGGTGATCTGAACTGCTGACCTTTTGGTTAGTAGCCGAGTTCTTAACCACTGCACCACCAGGGCTCCATCTCCTACTAGTGGATCAGAATTTTTTACATTTGTGAAACTATGTACATTTGCTCAATAAGCTTTTTAAAGGTATTTGTGAAAATTTAGCTATCATTCAAGTGTTTCTATATTAATGAACATAATACTATCATGACTTTCCAGATGTACGTGAAGTTTTATATCCTCTAACTGAATGCCTTTTAGTGTTGCCTCAACTGCTCTGTGCATGTATCGGATTAGGAGTTCAGTCCTCCCCAGAGTAGTTAATAGGCGGGGGAGAGAGTTGTAACTGCAGTCTGGGTGATTGGGGAAGATTCTACAAGTATCATCAGAATTCTTTGCTTTATGTGTTGCCGAAAAGAGTAGAGTAGGTTCTGTGGTTTTTACTCTGAGGCCATAGGTTTCCTTTAACAATAGTATTTCTCAGTAAGCAGTCTAATTAGACTGACTGGTCATGGTTGACAAGTGACTTATGCACATTCCCTATTGCTTAGTAGATTATGTAACTATCTGGAGTTACAAAACGTAGTTAGCATAGCAGTATTATAGCATTATATCACAGAGGAGCCTGGGTGGCGCAAGCGGTTTGTGCTTGTCTAGTAACGGCAATTCAGACCCACTCAGCCACTCCATGGAAGGATGGCCTGGCAAGCTGCTTCCGTAAAGATTACAGCCAAGAAACCCTATGGAGCAGTTTTACTCTGTAACACAGTGGGGTTGCCATGAGTTGGAATCAACTTGACGGCAAAGGGCTTGGTTTTATAATATTAGTACTGGCAAAGGGTTTGGTTTTATTGTATTAGTACAGTGATTAAAGCAAGGACTCAAGTTTGAATCTTGGCTGTACCACCTCTGTGCTGAAGTTTTCTCATCTGTAAAAGGGGGTAATGACCCATTGCCGTCGATTCGATTCTGACTCATAGTGACCCTATAGGATAGAACAGAACTGCCCCATAGAGTTTCCAAGGAGCGCCTGGTGGATGTGAACTGCCGACCTTTTGGTGAGCAGCTGTGGCACTTAACCACTGTGCCACCAGGGTTTCCAAAAAGGGGGTAATAGTACCTGCTTCATAGGAGTGTTGATGATCACATGTATTAACCCAGTGAAAATGCTTTAAAAAGTACCTGGCATTTAAAGTGGTTAAACATGTTATCTATTAATAACTCATTTTAATTTCTTAAACCTTCTGAATAAGCTTTATGCAAGAATGTCAGATGTTCTGATGAACAGTGTTTATATATATCTTTATTCTAAGATAAGGAGCCCTGGTGGTGCAGTGGTTAAAGCACTCAGCTGGACAACTGAAAGGTCAGCGATTTGAACTCATTAGCCGCTATACAGTAAAAAGACGTGGCAGTTTGCTTCCTTAAAGATTACAGCCTTGGAAACCCTATGGGGCAGTTCTACTCTGTCCATTAGGGTTGCTGTGAGTCAAAATTGACTTGATGACAATGTTTTTTTTTTTGTTCTAAGATAATTTTTTTTTCCTTAGAAGATTACTGGACAAGTTCAATAGAAGGAAAAGTGAATTAACAAAGCATAGAAAGTCATGCCTTTTACTTATACTAGAGTGGGAGACTTCTGTGTTTATATTTTGTATTTATGTTTTTCTAGTACAGTTGCCTGAAGTTAATATAAATGAAGAAACTGCTTTAGCAGAAGTTAACTTAAAGAAGAAAAGTCATTTGAGTATTAGAAATCATCCAGTTGCAACTTCCTTTGCCATATTTGATGAGTAAGTTAATCAAATGTGAAAAAAAAAAATTGTGTATTTAAGGTCATAGATTGTTACTGAGCTTTGTACTTTTCATGAAATGCCTAAGGTAACCATACTGTCCTGGTTTGTTGCGGACACCTGAGTTTATAGCTGTTGTCCCTGCAAAATGATTACTAGCCAACCTTTATATTTTCACAAGTATCTTGATTTGGAGGATCAATTCTGTGCTCACCCTACCTATTCCTTGGTTTTCTTATTCCTATAGAATGTTAATTTTCAGTTCTTTCACTGAAGATTTAGCTGAGGCTACCTCAGTATTTGCCAAAGTCTTTAACATATCCACAAACTGAAGGACAAACATTCTAACAAGCAGTAGACTTTCAGGTTGTTGATAACTTTTCTGGTTTCCTGCCAGTCTTTTCTAGCTCTTGTATCTGGTCTCAGTACCTAAGCTGAAATGCAGGTAGTTAAGTTTACTGTTTTTTTAAAAAAATAAAATTTGTTCCATGGACTAATAATTTACTTTTTTTTTTTTTTAAAAAACAGCACTTTACTCATAGTTGACCCTACTGGAGAGGAGGAGCATCTGGCAACTGGCACATTAACAATAGTAATGGATGAGGGAGGCAAGCTGTGCTGTCTTCACAAACCAGGCATGTTCTTCCACTTCAGTCTGAACAGATGTTGATGAAAACTCTGTGTGAGCTTCTTTATATTAAGGAGGACCAAATGGAATGTGGGATGTCTCACTGTTTATCTAAAGGACATTTACTATAGTTTCCTTGTTACCTCAAATTCCTTTTTTTATGTGGTATATGAGTGGTTCTTAAACTTCGGCATGCATCAGAATCAGGTCTTGTTAACGAAGAACTTGCATTTCTTACAAATTTCCAGGTAATTTTGATGCTGCTAGTCTTGAGACCATACCACTCCTGTACACTGTCCATTCTTAAAAATAACTTGACATGACGCTGATCTTTTACAAAGTTAAGACAATTAACAGGTTCAAAGTGATGGTACAGCAATTGATTTTTCAGGTGGAAGTGGGCTGACTGGTGCTAAACTTCAGGATTGCATGAGCCGAGCAGTCACAAGACACAAAGAAGTAAAAACCCTGATGGATGAAGTAATTCAAAGTATGAAACCCAAATAAACCACCACCACGTTTTCAAAACCGAGTTGTAGAAACTGTATTTCTCAGCACAGTGCACAAACCTTTTATACTAAATAAATATCAAACTACATTCTTTTGAAAGATGTTTCTAGTATTTCTTAGGCCACTTCCATACATATTATGCACAGTGAAACCAGAGCAATGACTTAGGCAAGCCATCCCTAGTTTGTTAAATCATTTCCCTGCTTTTATTTAAAAATCATAGGGTTGTGCTTCTGTATAAAGTTTGTACATCTAGCAATGTAAAATACTGACAAAAGAAAAATGAAGTAAACTGAGAATCCGTTTGATTCAATGCTCTCGTGTTCTCAAAGAGGAAGGAAGGAAGGAAGAAGTAACGCAGACTCAGAGCTGTGGAGTGGCTGGCGCGCCTCTCTTCACCTTACTTCCTGACTGGCTGCCTGGATGGCGATGCCGACGTAGCTGAGCTCTTTGTGCCGCCGCCGCCGCCACAGCCATCTGATGCTGCAAGAATCGCAACTGCTGCCAAAAGGAGGGAAAGGTTACGTTAAATGACGCAGGTCCGGGAAGGTGCTTTTCCTGAGTGACGGAATCAACACAACGAGAGGGAGAAAGCACCAAGATCACAAAAGGATTATACCACATGGAGACAACGCACAGTCAAACAGCACCAGTGGCACAGAAGCCTGCTGAGGGCTTTAAAAAATGATTCTTGGTCAACTTTTAAAAATTATTTGTTACTCTGCCCTGCCAGTCTACACTGCAGTAAGTCAGCAACTTCAGTTACCGTTTTGTTGTATGATGATAGTTTACAGTAACATACCACCACCCTGAATACCAAGATAAGAGGCGACTATGATATGCTGATTTTACTTCCAAGAATAACTGAATAACATTCTTCTAAAACAGGACATTTACTAATAGGAACACTGCTATACTTGCCTTTTCCTGCAGTACAATATTAAAAAGTTAACAATGGGCACTTACAGTCTATTTCAAAATATACTGGAAACTAGAAACACGTGTTTAGTAATGTGCCACCAGTACTTCAAGAGATTTTACATTAGGAAAAAAGTATGGCTTAAATGTACAAATATATTCAGTGCTCCATGCTGATTAGCTAAAATGCCAGGCTTTTTAATAAAATTTGCTAAATTATTTACCAATTTACTGTTTAGTCTTAAAAGTCAGTAAAACTAAAGCAAGGTATACTGAGGTACTTTTGGAGCTGAATATTTCATCTTAAAAAACGTATTAGCGTGAAGTTGCTGGATTACTTGTATCTGTTGCTGCTGCTGTTGAAAGGCAGAGGAGGGCTGGAGTCTCTGCTGAGGGAGGCTTTGCTCAGGTCTGTTCTCGGCAGAGCCAAGCTGAGACAACACTACAGAGAGGAGAAGGGGAAAGCAGGCCAGTCAGAAAGTTTGAAGGGTTAGAAAAGGACAACAAAGGAAATGAAATAATAGAAAAGTTATCAGTATGATTAATCTTAAGTATCAAATCACAGACATTTCAGAGTCAATTTAGTATAGTCTCCTGTTAGTTGAAGGTACTGCGATCATGGAACTGCCTGGACGGAGAAGGGGAAGAGGGCACATGTGCCAAAACACTGTGTCCCTCTTTTTGCATAAATGGAATCTGAGACTAGTGCTGTTTTGTTGAGAAGGCTGTCTTTCACAGGGTAACACACAGTACATTATTTTTAAATGTAACAAATAGGAAAAAAGAGTGGAGACATCCCAACTACCACAGTGACAAAACTGGTGAACAGACGAGTGCTTCAAGCAAAGGATACTGCAGTGAACCTGAGACAAGACTACCAACAAAGGTCGTGTACTGAGAGGGCTGTATTAACGAGCTCAACCCCTTCACTGTACATACAGATGGGGAAATTTAAGGCCTAGGTTAGGTCTGAGTCACTTACTTAGTCATCCAGGTAATTACTGGCAGGTCTTGAGCTAGGAACATTCTCATCATTTTCCAGCGTTAGAGTTCTTTCCACTAAATGACAGCTATTTTAGGCAATTTATAACTTGTGTGGTAAAGGTATGTAATTATAGATTTCCACTTGGAAGTTCACTAGCTTTAAGTTAGGATCTATGTGAGAATTACTTATTTCCAAAATAAAGACTTTTTTATTATTCTGCCCTAAAGGACTTCTAAATTCAGAAACTGGGAACTGTAGGAATCTAAAGGTATCTTAAAGGAACCCTGATGGAGCAGTGGTTAAGCGCTCAGCTGCTAACCGAAAGGTGTCTTATTAAGCCCACAGTAATAACGCTGACAACATGTTCACTCATTCAATCCTCACACTCCACCACTGCTTAGCTTTCTTATACATGTGGGCTTGCTGATTTTAATTAGTGTAAAGTCAGAATTACTGTCTTTAACTGACAAGATAGTCTTCATTAAAGATAAACCTTTGTTTCACCATTGATTACCCCAAGTGGTGAACAGTCATTCAGTTCAATTTCATTCTGGCAAATGATAAAAGTGGCTGCCAGAAGTTAGGCTATTAATCATTAAGATTTATTTCATGCAACTCAGGCTATCAGATGATGCGGTCTGGAAAAATACAGCCTCCATAACCCTGGAAAGCCAGAGAGTTACTAAGTTACTGAGATAACCACACTGGCAAACAGTGACCCCGGTTCTGGCAGGGTCTCCTAGGAAGCTGGATTATAGTGAACAGTAACCTGAGGGAAGGCCGTACGTGCTGTCAGTATGTTTAAGCCAAAGCTCTTTTAATTCATCAACAGCCAAAGAAATTAATGAAAAAACCTCGACAGCCATCAATCAATTTAATAGGTGATAAAGACTACTTTTTCATAGTTATTGTTTACCTGGGAAGGAAAAAATAATTAAAATGGTGAGACTGTACATAGATTAGATACTTTTGGTGAATTCAGCGTACAAAGCCATGAAGAACCTACCAGCTGCCTGGGACTGCATGAAACTCCCTACTCCAGCAAGGTTAACAACAGCAGCTTGCTGAGCAGATAAGGCCTGCTCCTGACTGGCCGAGCCTTGGTCAGAACCCTGAAAAGAAAAAGAAAAATGATTTATACAAGAAGAAAGACCATTCTGAGTTGGTGAAAAGAAATTAGTACTTTTTCTCTAGAATATCAACATTAGGCTTGGACTTGGGAAGAGCACACCTCCACTCTGCTGCTGTTGATTTTGCTTTTGTTGCTGGTTTGTGACTCAGGAGACCCCATGTATTACAGAGTAGAACTGCTCCATAGGATTTTCTTGGCTGTACTCTTCATGGAAGCAGGCCGTTAAGCCTCTTTCTTCCACGGAGCCTCTGTGTGAGTTTGAACTGCCAACCTTTTTGTTCACTCGCCTAGTGCAAACTGTTTGCACCACCCAGGAATCTTTGGACTTGTAAAGAGAATAACAAATAAAAGACTTCACAGGTACTTAAAATTAGCAAGGATAGATTTACGGTATTTTGAAAGCAAGAAAATACAACTTAATTTTTCAGAATTGATTCTATATTGATATATTGTCTGACTTTCTATTAATAATTTCCAAGACTTTTGTAAGTCTTCATCAAAATGATTTTTTTAAAGCTCAAAACACGCTTTGCTACACAGTATTGGACTTCTAGCCAGCACAATAAGGCAAGAAATACAAGGCATATGGTTTGTAAGGAAACAAGAAAACTCCTTATTGCAAATCGCCATGACTGTCTATGTAAACATTCAAGGAATTTACAAAAAAACTCCAGATAAGTGAGTTCAGCAAGACTGATCAACATATGAAAATCAGTTCTTATACTGGCAATGACCATGTAGAAACCAACATTAAAAACAATACCATTTACAGCAGCTATTAAAAAAAAAAAGTATAAATCTAACACAACAGCTAAGACTTGTATGCTAAAAACTAAAACATGCTGATGAATCATGGAGGGATACTGTGTTCACAGACTGGAGACTCAGCACAGTAAAGATGTCCGTTACCCCCAAGTTGATCTACAGGTTTAGCTCAATTCCTTTAAAAATACATAAAAATCAAGAATGTTTTTGTACATATAGACAAGATGATTCTAAAATTTATACAGAAATGTTAAGGGACTAAAATAGCTAAAACAATTTTGAAGAAGAAAGTGGGAAGAATCACTCTGCCTGATTTTAAGACTTAATGTTCAGTGATCAAGACACTGTGGTCTGTGCAGAGGGGCAGACGCATGGATCGATGGAACAGGGCAGAGAACACAGAAATAGACCCACACAACTACAGCCAGATGATTGTTGACAAAAGTACAAAAGTAATTCAACAGAGGATAGCTTTTCAACAAATGGTGCCGGAGTAACTGAACATTCACAGCCAAAAAAATTTTACCTTGATTTAAGTCTGACACCTTATACAAACATTAACTAAAAATGGATCATAGAATTAAATGTAAAACTTTTAGCGGAAAAAAGGAGAAAAATCTTTTGAGATCTAAAGTTAGGCAAAGAGTTAGTTGTTAGACCTGACACCTTAACCACAGCCCGTAAGAAAAAAAAAGGATAACTTGGGACTTTATCTCAATTGAAAACTTTTGTTCTGTAAAAGACATCCTTTGTTACTAAAATAAAAGACTGCCTGAAATAACACTAGCAGTATATAATACAAGCCAAACATTTCCAATGTTAAAGCACCTTTATTTTGAGGGTACCTCCCTGGATACAGAAAATAAATTTCCTCCTTTAAACCAAAGTTGGCTCTCCTCTGCTCCCAATAAATGGTGGTTTAATCAAAATCATTACTTTAATAGATGGCTATGATCTAACAGTAATGCCAAGGAGAAAAAGGGTCTACAGAAAACTCTTAGAAATTGATTAAACACATAAATACATCAGTCTGCTGTTAGGAAAGTGGACAAGGAGGAGGAAAGTACTGGTGAAATGTAAATTATTATAACCTTCTTAGAAAGGCAATCCAAAACCAGCTACCGGTAATACAAATACAGGATAATACAAATACACAATTCTTCAAGTCCAACAATTCCACCTCTGTGAACCCATCCATGGAAATAAAAGCATCAGAATATAAAAATATTATCTGTAAGAGTGTATATCACAGTTTACAGTGGCAAAAAATTAGAAACAATTACTTCCAAAAGGCCAAATACGGAATGCAGGTAGGGACTTGCAAGTGGGTGAGACTGGAAGTGGCAGCCTTGGAGGAGCACTGTTTCTAGGGGAGATTTACATACTCAGAGAAGGACTAGTTCTCCTTGGAGACCTGGCAGTGAAGGGAAAGAAGGAATGTTGTTGTTAGTTCTAGCGAGTGGATTCCAACTCATGGTGACCCCATGTGTGCACAGTAGACCTATATTCCATAGCGTTTTCAAGGCTGCGGACTTACAGAAGCAGATCGCTAGACCTTACTTCTGAAGAGACTCTGGGTGGACTTGAACCACCAACGTTTTGGTTAGCAATCCAGTGCTTCACCATTTGCGCCACCCAGGGGCGCCTAAAGAAGGAAGCAAGGGAGGAAAATTAAGTATCTTGCAGAAACCAAAGAAAAACAAGACATACCAATTCCTTATCTTCCTCACAAATATCAGCATCCATTAAAAAACTACACAGAAGAGGGCGGAACTGACAGACGGACAAGACGACCATGCAAACATGAACAGGAATAGAAAAGAGCAGATCACATAATCCTCGTAACAGAGGTATTATAAAACACAACAAAAAACCAAAACAACAACAGAAAAACCTAGCTTAAAAAAATTTCTCCCCCTAAAAAACCCACAAAGCTAAAGAGAACTGCAAGACCACCACCACAAATGGAATTAAATGTCCTCATACAAGGGATATGACTAAACACTTTGAATCAGAAATAGAAATACTCAGAAATATAAGGTCTCAGGCTGAGCGAAAAAATGATGGAAAAAGGCGTACTATGCTAACATGAATCCAAAGAAACAGGAAGGAAATATTACCAAAGATAAAAAGGGTCAGTTAATAATGTTAAAGGGATCAATCAGTCAAGAGGACATAACAATCCTAAATTTGTACGTACCTAGTAACAGAGCTTCAAAATATATGAAGCAAAAACTGACAAAGGAAAGGAGAAATAGAAATTTCCAGTTTTAGCTAGAGTTCAACACTTTTCTCAGTTAATTGATAAAACATTTAGAAAGAAAATCAGTAAGGATAGAGAAGTCTTGAACAATACCATCAAACATCTGATCTGACATTTTTAGAAATACTCCATCTGACAGCAGCACAATACACATTCTTTCCAAGTTCACATGGAACACTCAGCAAGACAGACCCTATTCTGGACCATAAAATAAGCCTGAACAAACTTAAAAGAACTGAAAACAACATTTTCAGGCCACATGGAATTAAACTAGAAATAAATTACAGAAAGATACCTGGAAAATTCCCAAATATTTGGAAATGAACACACTTCTAAATCACTCATGGACCTAAAGAGAAATTCACAAGGGATACTAGAAAATCCTCTGAACTGAATGAAAATGAAGGCACAACAAACGAATATTTGCTTTAAGCAGTACTTAGAGGGAAATTTACAACACTAAATGTTTATTTTAGAAAAGGTCTCAACTCAATCAGCTTCCACCTTAAGAAACTAGAAAAAGAAGAGAAAACTATAATCCAAAAAAACTTTCCAGAAATTTACAGGGCCTAAAGGAAAGATTTGGAAAGATCAGTTTTGAGACATATCCTAGTGAAAATATTAAGTCTTTAAATACAAAGATAAACCCTCAGGGCCCCCAGGCAAAATGATTAAAAAAACCAAGAGCAAGAAAACTAGACTGGTATCAGACTTCTCTGAGACATGCAAAGGAAGACAACCTGGGCAGCACTTCCAATAAACTTGAAAACAAAAAGTGCAAACCAAGAATTTTACATCCAGCCAAGCAATCCTTCATGGGTTAAGGATAAAAGCAGTTTTAGTCATGGCAGTTTTGAATGTGCCTTCCTGAGGAAATCTATTAAGGATGAGCTTTATCCAACCAAGAACTGACTGGAGAAACTCTGGCAAAAGGACTGATGGTGAACGTTTTATATATTTGTGAGCTGAGAGAAATTCTGGGGTTGGGACTCAAGCAACAATATTTTTCAAAGTTTCCCAGGTGATTCCAAAGTGTAGCCAAGGTTCAGAAACACAGCTCCTTCTTTTACTTTAATTCCATCTCTAATGCAGTCCTTATTCAATTCCATTCTGTTTGGTAGGGTGTTAAGTATCTGCTTTTGTCCGTCTCCCTCTACCCCAAGCTTCATGACATTAGAGGTATCTCTATTACAATAATACTTAGCACAAGGCCTCATACAGAACAAAATGCCGAAAAGAGCAGTAATGATGGATTGAAAATACATGGGCTACAGGGTCAGAAAGACCTGGGTTTGAATCCCTGCTCTGCCACTACTATGTGGCCAGGTGCAAGTTACCTGTCTGCACCTGTTTCCTATTATGCAAGACGGAGGGATCACCATCTATTCAGTATAGCTGTTTTGAGAGTTAGAAATAGGCACCCAAGAATGCAGAGCTATTGTTGTTAATCAGGAAAAACCTTCCAGGAAATGTTAAACACATTATATAAAAGCACTTGAATATGCTTGAAAGTTATGAAAACAATGTTGCAAACTCTGGTACAAAGCAGAGGAAAGGCAGAAAATGCCTACCTGCTCCCCTGGCTGTTGAGGACTAGAAGTGGTGGGCTGCTGAGGTGGTTGTTGTGGAGTAAACTGAGAGAGCTGCTGCTGTTGCAGAGGGTTAAAAATGAGGGAGCCACCGGAAAGCTATGAAGGATTTAAACAAAAATTAATTAGCCAATTTCACATGGTTTTTATATGAAATGAAATTTCTTAATCCCACAAATATTTTTGGACCATATTCTATGTGTATGAGACCCTGGGTAGTGCAAACAGTTAATGTGCTTGGCTGCTAACTGGAAGGTTGGTAGTTTGAACCCATCCAGAGGTGTGCTGGAAGAAAGGTCTGGTGATCTACTTTGGAAAAATCAACCACTGAAAACCCTGTGGAGCACTGTTAACTCTGACACACATGGGGTTCTCCACGGGTGCAATCTACTCAATGGCAACTGGTTTTCTGGTGTTTTGATCCTATGTGCTAGACAACATTCTAGGCACTTAGGAAACAGAGGTAAACAACAACAAACCAAGATCCCTGTCCTAAAAAAAAAAAAAAAGAAAAAAAAAAGCCCTGGTGGCACAATGGTTAAAGGCTTGGCTGCTAACCGAAAGGTCAGTGGTTTGAATCCACTAGCTGCTCTGCAGGAGAACTATGTGCTCCTGTACAGATTACAGCCTTGGAAACCCTAAAAGGCAGTTCTACTCTGTCCTGGATGGTCGCTATGAGTCAGAATCAATTCGACAGCAAAGGGTGGGTTTTTTAAAAGAAAGAATAGAAAAAAATCTATTTAGAGACCATTTGTTAAGTACTATTACTTTGGCCTTCTAAATATTTTAATACTCTCAAACATAAATCTTGCTACCTCAAGTTAATACCTGGCTATCCAAATTTACGTACTGCTTTTTACTTAACTCTTCTTATGACACATTTAATGCATTAGAAAGTATAAACGAGGAGCTAATAGTAAGCAGAAGAATGTGTTAAGAAAATCCGTCCCCAAAATTTGTTCTGTATCTTCCACATAACAGAAATGTATGGGTTCTTATATAACATAGTGAGGAAATCTAAAGCGGAAGAGAAAATGCATTAGATGTCCATTATTTATTTGGAGTAAATTACCTGCTCTATCATTCTAATTCTAAAGTAATTCAAATTGGAAAAAAAAAAAAAAAAGCATCCAGAAAACTCCAGGTTAAAAATTAAATCTGTGTTTTCCAAATGCATCAAGAAAACAAATGATACAACAAAATGCCTCATGGAATTGGGTTTCTTGGTTTTGGGAGGTTAGGGTCACGGTCTCATGGGACATTACATTTAACTGGCCTTATTAGGCCTCATCTCTAGCACTTCTTTTCTACCTCCTAGTTTGTTGTGTAGGGTCTGGGGACTTAAAAGCTTGCAAGCAGCCATTCAAGGTAGAACAACTGGTCTCTTCATCTGGAGCAAGAGAGGAAAAAAAGCCAGGAATAGGAGGAGGAAATGGAATGTGCGGCTAGCTCTCTCCACAAACAACTGCCTCCTCTGTAGTTAGACCAGGAGAAATGGATGGAGCCTGGCTACCATTACTGAACATTTTGATCAAAGATTCCAAAGTAGAATCCTAATCAAAAGGAGGAAAAAATGCAGAACAGAATTTTAATTCTCATGGAATTCTGACTGCTCCCGTAAAGATTATAGCTTAGGAAACCCTTTGGGGCAGTTCTACCCTGTCACATGGGGTCAGCAGAAGTAGAAATCGACTCGACAGCACCTAACAACAACAGCAGCACAGTTCATTATTAAGTAAATTTTGACATAAGCACAGGTTGAATCTTCTGTCTTTAATCAGTTAAATGTAGCAAAATGTAATTAACTTATAAAATGGCTTTGTCCTTATTCTTTATTAACAATATTATAAAGAAATTCTACTCTCACTGAGAAAAATTCCAATAGCAACATGCAAGAAAATAGGCTAAATAAACCAATGTGATCTGTAGTCTTGTCCATAGACGAATAGATTGTTCTGCAATTACAGTCTGCAAATAGTGATACTGTTTGCATCTTGTATATTAAGTTTTGCCCTAAATGCAAGTTCCAATTTTGTTATTCCTGAACACCAGGTTGGTGTTGTCATTTCCCAACATTCCATATCATGCCATTTCATGTCTCCAGATCTTTATTTCATGCCTACATTTTCTAAGTTAACCTATAGATAATCCCATTTTCCAAACTACTCACCTAATACCTTACTCCACCCTTTATATTAAAGGACCTAGCATAATATCTGGGATACTACAGGTTCACGTCTACTAAATTCCCCATCTTCTATACCTCTTCATGAGTATATTGATACCAATTACATATTTAAGAAAAGCCTCATTACTGGATACCTGCTGTGGTGGTAAATGAAAGGCCTGGTGACCTACATCTGAAAAATCAGCCACTGAAAACCTTATGGAATAGTTATACTTGAACACACTATGAGCTGGAATCGTCTTCTTCAAATTCCACAAACATTAGGATCAATTAAACGACTACTATGTGCCCGGCACTATGTAGGAAATAATACTCTCCTCAGGAAAAGAACATATGCCTCTTTTAAAGATCTGTATTCAAGCACAAAATCTGTTGTTGGCAAACAGTATTACATATATGCATCTGCATATGTATCATAAAATGTCTGCTGAAGAGGAGTTATTTTGGAAGCGTATATACTACTGGCATTCTCCCTGGTAGTGTCAATTCTTTCTGTTGGAACAGCTAGTTCTTGATTAGGCAAGGGTGCTGGACCCAATGAGAATAAGGTATACAGGATACTGTTTCTTCTTATTCACTTGACCATTAATAACCACACCCTTAGACGATTCTGAACAGATCTCAAAGTTTCAAATGTTGAATATATACAAATTCACATTGTTGAAAAAAAAGAAAAAAAAGTCAAAGTATAAAAACTTTGATCAAAAGCAGGATTTTAGGTTTACCTGGAGTAGATTTAAGGGCCTGAGACTTGAAGTATTTTTTAAACCAAATGGAACACCTGTTAAATAAAAGTCATAATTATCACAGGGAATTAAAACTTTATCACACATTGAAATAATGTATACTTTAGTATGCATAACTAAAGAAGCACTGGTGGCACAAGGGTTAAGCGCTTAGCAGCTCGTTGGGAGTAGAGACCTGAAGGTCTGCTCTGTAAAAATTATAGCCTAGAAAACCCTATGGGGCAGTTCTGCTCTGTCACGGGAGGTTGCTATGCGTTGGAATTGACTCGCTGGCACCCCAACAACAATATACATAACCAGAACATCGTTAAGTATTCTCTGCATGGATGTACTTATTTTCTATACTTTTAAAATAGCTTCAAAACAGAAAACTGTTTTTCTTCAATGACTATCAATGCTGAGAACTTATCAAATGTTCTGGGACACCAGGTGTACACTCTGTTCTGTATTTTAGAACTTCTTTATCACTATTCTGACTATTGGCTGCACAGTATGTGGACACTATGAATGTAATAAAACTATCACTGCTGTGCAAATACATTCCAGGCACTAGCATCTGTTTGCATTCCTCAAATAACTATCTCTAAGAATTGATGTATTTTTAAGAACAACAATTAAATAATGCTAAAGAACTTTGTTATTTTATTTATATAAGGATCAAAACTGAAAACCAGGCAACAACGCTCTGGTAGTAATTGTGAACTTAATCTTAAAAATCTGTGACTGAATATGGAGCATGTCTTTTTTTTTTTTTTTTAATTGTGCTTTAAGTGAAAGTTTACAGCTCAAGTTAGTTTCTCATACAAAAATTTATACACACATTGTTTTGTGACCCTAGTTCCTATCCCTATAATGTGACAGCACACTCCTCCTTTCCACCCCCGATTCCCCGTGTCCATTCAACTAGCTTATGGAACATATCTTAAAGCAGCGGTTGGTAAACTTTTTATGTAAAGAGAATATAAACATTTTAAGTGTTTGTGGGCCACATATGGTCTCTGTCGCATATTCTTTTTTTTAAACAATCCATAACTTAGACACTGGTATTTCAAATACCAATAGGGTCACCCTTGGTGGACAGGTTTTCAGCGGAGCTTCCAGACAAACACAGAGTAGGAAGAAGGACCTGGTGGTCTACTACTAACAAAACTGGCCACTGAAAACCTTATGAATAGCAGAGGAACTGTGCCTGGTATAGTATTGGAAGATGAGCCCCTCAAGTTGGAAGGAACTCAAAATACGACTGGGGAAGAGCTGCCTCCTCAAAGAAGAGTCAACCTTAATGACATGGATGGAGTCAAGCTTTCGGGACCTTCATTTGCTGATGTGGCACGACTCAGAATGAGAAGGACCAGTTGCAAACATCCACTAGCTATCGGAACATAGAATGCATGAAGTATGAATCTAGGAAAAATGAAATGGATTGCATAAAGATCAATATCCTAGGCATTAGTGAGCTGAAATGGACTGATATTGGCTATTTTTAATCAGACAACCATATGGTCTACTATGCCAGGAATAACAAATTAAAGAGGAATGGCATTGCATTCATCGTCAAAAAGAACATCTCAAGGCCTATCGTGATATACGATGCTGTGAGTGATAGGATAATATCCATACACCTACAAGGAAGACCAGTTAACACGACTATTATTCAAATTTACGCACCAACTTCTAAGGCCAACGATGAAGAAATTGAAGATTTTTACCAACTTCTGCAGTCTGAAATTGATCAGACACGCAATCAGGATGCATTGATAATTAATGGTGATTAGAATGTGAAAGTTGGAAACAATGAAGGATCAGCAGTTGGAAAATATGGCCTTGGTGAAAGAACAATGCCAGAGATCTCATGATAGGATTCTGCACAACCAACGACTTCTTTATTGCAAATACTTTTTTTCAACAACACAGACAGCGACTATACATGTGGATCTCGCCCGATGGAATACACAGGAATCAAATCGACTACATCTGTGGAAAGAAACGATGAAGAAGCTCAGTATCATTGGTCAGAACAAGACCAGGGGCTGACTGTGGAAAAGATCATCAATTGCTCATATGCAAGTTCAACTTGAAGCTGAAGAAAATTAGAACGAGTCCATGCGAGCCAAAGTGCGACCTTGAGAATACTCCACCTGAATTTAGGGACCCATCTCAAGAACAGATTTGACACACTGACCAAAGACCAGAAGAGTTGTGAAATGACATCATGGACATCACACATGAATAAAGCAAAAGGTCATTAAAAAAAGATAGGAAAGAAAGAAAAGACCAAAATGGATGTCAGAAGAGACTTGCTCTCGAATGTAGAGTAGCTAAAAAAGTGAAAGGAAGAAATGATGAAGTAAAAGAGCTGAACGAAAGATTTTAAAGGGCGGCTCCAGAAGACAAAGTATTATAATGAAATGTGCAAAGACCTGCAGTTAGAAAACAAAGAGGGAAGAACATGCCCAGCATTTCTCAATCTAAAAGAACTGAAGAAAAAAATTCAAGGCTCGAGTTACAATATTGAAGGACTTTACAGGGAAAATATTGAATGAGGAAGCATCAAAAGAAGATAGGAGGAGTACACAGTCACTGTACCAAAAAGAACTGACTGATGTTCAACCATTTTAGGAGGCAGCATATGATCAAGAACCGATGGTATTGAAAGAAGAAACCCAAGAAAAACAAAGCTTCAGGAACTGATGGAACACCAATTGAGATGTTTCAACAAAATGGATGCAGCACTGGAGGTGCTCACTTGTCTATGTCAAAAAAATTGGAAGATACCTTCCTGGCCAATTGGCTCGAAGAGATCCAGATCTGTGCCCATTCCAAAGAAAGGTGATCCAACAGAATGTGGCAATTATCGAACAATATCATCAATATCATATGCAAGTATAATTTTGCTGAAGATCATTCAGAAGCTGTTAAAGCAGTGCATTGACAGAGAATTGCCAGAAGTTCAAACGGGATTCAAAAGAGGACGTGGAATGAGGGATATCACTACTGATGTCAGGTGGATCGCGGCTGAAAGCAGAAAATAGCAGAAAGATGTTTACCTGTGTTTTACTGACTAGGCAAAGGAATTCAACTGTGTGCATCATTACAAATTATAGATAACACTGTAAAGAATGGGAATTCCAGAACACTTAATTGTAGTCATGAGGAACCTGTACATAGACCAAGAGGCAGTCATTTGGACAGACAAAAGGGATACTGCATGGTTTAAAGTCAGGAAAGGTGTGTGTCAGGGTTGTATCCTTTCACCATACTTATTCAATCTGTATGCTGAGCAAACAATCCAAGAAGATGGACTACATGAAGAAGATTGGATTGGAGATCAGGATTGGAGGTAACAACCTGTGATATGCAAATAACAGAGCTTTACTTGCTGAAAGCGAAAAGACTTGAAGCACTTACTGATGAAGATCAAAGACTACAGCCTTCACTGAGGATTACACGTCAACATAAAGAAAACAAAATCCTCACTAGACCAATAAGCAACATCATGGTAAACGGAGAAATGACTGAAGTTGTCAAGGATTTAGTTTTACTTGGATTCATAATCAACACCCATGGAAGCAACAGTCAAAAAAAAAATCAAATGACCCATTACACTGGACAGATTTGCTGCAAAAGACACCTTTAAAGTTTTGAAAAGGAAAGATGTCACTTTGAGGACTAAGGTGCGCCTGACCCAAGCCACAGTGTTTTCAATAGCTTCATATGCATGCGAAAGCTGCATAATGAATAAGGAAGACCAAAGAAAAATTGACACCTTTGTATAAGGGTGTTGGCAAAGAATACTGAATATAACATGCACTACCAGAAGAAGGAACAAATCTGTCTTGGAAGAAGTACAGTCAGAACGCCCCTTCAGAAGCAAGGATGGCGAGACTTTGTCTCACGTATTTTTGACATGTTATCAGGAGGGACCAGTCTCTGAAGAAGGACATCATGCATGGCAGAGGGTCAGTGAAGAAGAGGAAGACCCTCAACGAGATGGATGGACACAGTGACTGCAACAGCGGGCTCAAGCATAACAATGATTGTGAGGATGGTACAGGACTGGGCAGTGTTCCGTTCTGTTGTACTTAGGGTCCTTAAGAGTTGACAACGACTTGATGGCACCTAACAACTTAGACCCCAGACTCAAAATATGTGTTACCTTTTCATAAATATAACAGTCTGAACACTAATTAAAACAGTATCTAAAAAGATAATTTTAAGGAAAAAAAAAAAAGGTGAGAAATACACATGTGAAAGGCTCAAAGCCTTGTATAAGAAACTGAAACATTAACAACACTTTCAGGTAACATTCTCATGAAAAGAAATGGCTTTATTGCTTTTAAAAATATATGAAGTCTGTATAATACTTTATAGCTTACAGAGGCACTATCATATCACTTCACTTATTTCTCGTAAGTACCAACCGAAGTTAGATATGTTTACTCTCCTTTCAGAGAAAATAAAAAATGAATCTAAGGGAGAAAAATTAAGGCCCCACAGTTAGTGAGTGCAGCCACATGCTACTGGTATAGCTAGCTCCCAAATTCAGGATTTGGTTCTGTTTGCAGGGCTCCTGTACTAAGCACATCATGCACATCAAACAGAGAAAACTGGAATAAGGAAATCACACGTTTAACATGTTCTCTGGGTTCTCTTTCTCATAACCGATTCAAGTTTCTGATAAATTTTATTATGTCAAGTTTGTTTTTCCTATTGAAGTTTTCCTCACTAGGAAGAAACTGAATTGTTTCAAGAAATTACAATACATTCGTTTAAAAAGCATGTAAAAAAGCACAAGTTGTTATACCTGTGACCTAGTATACATAATAATAATGAAAATGATAAAAATAACTACAATACAGCTAATAATAAGAATAATGTTGATGATACCCACACTCATTGCCACTGAGTAGATTCTGACTCATAGGGACCCTACAGCGAACCTATGGATAGAGTAGAACTGCCCCATAGGTTTTCAAGGCTGTAATGTTCATGGAAGCAGGCTGCCACGTTATTTCTCACACAGAGTGACTGGTGGGTTCGAACCACTAACCTTTTGGTTAGCAGCAGGGCGCTCAACCACTGTGCCACCAGGGCTCCTTTAATGATGATGCATGTATTTTTGAGTGCTAATCATGTCCCTGGCCCAGTTTAAGCATTTCATGTGTTTTTACTCATTTAATCCTCACAACTATATGAGGCCAGGTATTATTACTATCCTCGTTCTATTTATAAGGAAAACGAGGCAGAAGTAACCGCCCAAGATTACGTAGCTAGTAACATGCACAAATGGACTCCAACTCTGGCAGTCTGGCTCCAGAGCCAGGTGTTCAGTGATGTGCTATGCTGCCTCTCATGCTCAACGTGCCTTTTCAAAACACATTTATTTTACCTGGAGTATGATCACACTGACAACAATAAGGCTACTAAAGTTAATTTCATTACAATGTTTAGAAGGCAAAAGATAAACTTTGCAAGCACTTACACGCTTACCAAGTTTTTTTCACAGAAATCGGTTACTATTTGGTTTCAAACTGCAATATCAGTAATTTAAAGACTTTCGAAAAACCAAAAAATACTTCATAAAATACTGATGTCAAATGCCTTTAATTATACTCTTAAAATGACATTTTTACATTAGCGTGTACTTTAATTTTTTAGGGGTTATTATTTCCAGTATTCTGACCTGCTTGAGAAGCTGGCAGTGCGCCTGGCAGTGCATTTGGTAGCAGACCTCCTGAGGGAAGAAGGCCACTCAGATTGATTCCTGCAGGAGTGACGGCACCAGTGTTACAGCCTAGCATGGGGTTTGAACCACTCATCAAAGCCTGGGCTCCACTGCAGGAGAACAAAGACAAAGCATTCAACTTGCACTGTAAAAATAAAATCGGGCATATAATAATCCCCTGTATTAAAAAACCAGAAAACAAAAAAACAACTACTAAACAACCACAATTAGTATTTCTCTGTCTTAAGTAGCAATTTTAGGATCAGTTTCATTTTTATGCTAGAAAGTGGTACCCAGTGTGGCTCAATTAACTCTTATGTATTTCCCAAAGTTTAACATTATTTGGGAAGAGTCAAACTCTCGTTAAGGGATTAAATGACGGTAACACCGAGGACAAACAGAAAATCTAAGCCGCTGTCCATGTGAGGCAGCACCTTAGGAGAGTTAACAGACGTTACCTAAAATTTACAATATATATGTCGAGGAGGCTTCTATCTGTATCTATTTTCTTTCAGTTTGAGCAATATGCAATTTGCAAATTATGCAATTTCACAAATAATTAATTTGTGTAGACTAGTGAGAATATCCTTTAACAAACACCAGTGCATCAGTGCACACTTACCAAACGGAGCCCAACACGTTGATGAAGTTAAGTCCAGGGGAGTTTGCCATGACTTGGGTGGCTGTGGTTCCTGTCGTTATAGATGTCACCATGGTGGAAAGAGGAATGGTTGTTACAGGCATTGCCTGGCTCAGAGACCTTTGCTGCTGAGCAAACTGAGTTAACAAAGTGGGCTGAGGGGTGAAGCCTGAATCATGGGGAATAAGGGTTGCACAAGGGGTAATAGGAGTTGAGCTCTGAGCATCAGGAGGGTGTGGGGTCGATGAAGGGGTTGGTGTAGGAGTAGATGGCTTAGGAGTTCCAGATCCTGCTCATTGAGAAAAATAAAAATTGCTAGTTTGTTATAAATGGCCAGTCCTTTTAAAAATAAGGTTAATGGAATCTTACTTAGCACTGACAATTTGTTCCAGTTTTTTTTTTAAGCAGTAAACTGCAAGTGTTAATTTCTACACGATACGTGAGTGTTGCTACACTCGATTACAATTAAGGATGCAGTATATCACCTAAAAAATCCCATTAGAGATGCTACTACAGTAACAGTAAAAATATACATTTGTATTCTACCACAATACCCACTTAAAAGTTTATTTCCTGCATGCTGCCTTTGGCCTAAAAGGTTTAAAGGAATTTCAATCAATTTTTGTTAGTTACAATGTCACTATTTGAGGACTTCATTTAAAAATACTGCTTATTTTCAGTTATGGTCTCAGACAAACTCTGAATATATTCAATAAATTATGTATGGTTAACAATCATATTTGGCACCTAAATATACATGTTTAATTCCTAACACACCAAGTTTATCCTGACAGATTCACAAAAAAACTGTAATAAAAGTATCTGATAGATAATACTGCATCTTTAACAGTAACTGTGTACTTCTGTTTAAATGTAGAATGTACAGAAATTTTGTTGTGAATGACGTATGCACAGTTTATCAATTAAAAAAAAAACAAAAACAAAAAACAAAAACCAGAAAAGTAAAACCAAAAGCTCTTGAGGTGTTTTCTTTTTTAGCTTTCATGTCCTGCAGAAAGAAAGGAAAGAAATGTGAATGTCCAGAAGCTGTCACTCAACCCTTACTTAAAGCAACAACTGTGTGCAATAGATTAACATAATCTATACCCACAACATAAGTAGTGTGAATAAGACTTTCAGAAAATTTATAAAAGTTTTTCTTTGTGCAAAACAAGAAGGCAGAAAAATTACACCTTTTGAGCTATCAAGATGATGTTTATATCTAATGCGAAGACCACTCTATCACTGTGCAGTGTACTAAAACTTCCAGCATGTGTCAATTACCTATAAAAAATCTAAAAAATTGGAATGCTTTTTCTTTATACCAACTGGTACCTAAAGTATCTCAGATATTTACTAATTGGAAGAAATTCTCCCAAACTAATGCTAGACTTCTTTTATAACTCTTCTTGATGTATATATTAAAAAAAAAAAAAAAAAAGATTCAGTAATAAAAATTACAATTTAATATCTTCAGAATAATGCTTTATGATCATCATCACATTTTAGAAACTGACAACAATTTATAAGAGTGTAGGAGTGCTTTTGAAAAATCAGCTTTTAGTTTATTGTACCATCACCTTTGAACTAGTTGGCTTGTTACATATACAAACACAGGACTGCAGTGACAACTCTTATGACATTTTTTTTCCATTACCAGCTGTATAATTTACATAAAATGTAAAATGATCCTAGGGTACACTAGAACAAAAAAAATTTGGAATCTTATTGTCACATTTAGCGATCAGATTATCTTTTACGGAGATGTGTGTAGTTGCCAGTCTTTAAGAAAGGTATACACAGAGTGCATACACAGATACAGAAAGACAAATACAACTACAATAAACACATAATACACGCAACCAACAAGAGATCTGCCTGAAGCTTCTCACAGCTTACACATTTTGGGTACACAGTACACTTAGATTTCACTATATCACTGGCGAAAAAAGCTGTCTTAAGAGACACTAACGCAAAAGATTATGAAGATTTAAAGAAGAATGTTAAGTTATGACTCACTTTGTGATGAGCTGGCAGGTGACAAGGCCGCTGGAGAAAGCATGCTAACTTGACTGAGATCCACAGATGACTTCCGAGACAGACTTGGGGGCTTAGAAGCAGGGGGAGGAGTTGGAGATTTAAGAAAGCTGCTCGCCTGCTGTGCGGTAAAATAGTTACCTAAAAGAGGAATACTAAGTTATTTCCTAGATTTATAATCCAAAATTCTGTGGACTGTGTAAATCGAAACAGGGAAAGTTTTAAAAAGAGACTATGATTGTGTGACATTTCTCACTCCAGATCATAGAAAATTCAGGAATGTAATACCTGAGGAACTATTTCCTGAGCTTGAGGGAAGTTTGATGGGTGGCGGCCGATGCTTTACTCCTTTTCCCAGTACTGAAGACTGAACTGACACCGTCTCAGGCTGCTGAGAGAAAGTGATAACATGTACACTTGTTAAAATTAACAGTAAATCAGAAATTCATACATTAAGATCGCTTTACTAACTTCGATATGAAAGCACACAATTTAAAACTCTGCAAAGTACTCTTTGCAAAGTGGCTATAGATATTACAGATGTTACAGAGAAACATAATTTCCCACGAGATCCATGAAGTAATAGTATACGCCAACGATGAAAGAACGCTTTTTGATTAACAGGGTGGGGAGAAAGAGCTTGAGGGACATGGGCAGAGGGGTAACATGACGGCAAAGCCTCCACTCTGCTAAACCTATTCCTTTTCCAGGAAAATAACTGTTGAAGCTAGGGGATTGTTCACTATACTTTTTGGAACATTTGAAAATTTCTATTATAAAAAGTTAAACAATAAAAAAAGAAAGTTTAAGGTAAAAACAAAACGTAACTCCCCACCACCCCAGTTCCAAATATTCTTTAAAATTTCTCAGATTTCTTCAGAAACAATTAGCCACAAAAAAGTAACAGTGATCAAACATACTTCTGTTTCTTTGCCTGGAGAGTGCTGACTCAGACTGGCTGAGCCACTGGAGCTGTGTGACATCCTGACTGGACATTTGGCTTCATTTTGGACCAATTCCTGGTACTGATTGACTACCCTGAAATATTAGGGAAAAAATAGGTAAGGATTAGCTAAGTCTACTTTAAACACAAATTTATCAGATAGGAAATAATGTACTGTAAAAAAAAAAAAAAAAAGTCCCATCAAAATTAACTCAGAAATCAAAATAAGGCAACTTACCTGTGTTAAAAGTACATTCTTTGAATCTTTTTAATGACAAACTAATGCTCAAAACATTTTGCAAATTAACATCTAAAGAGAGATTTTCAATATCTTGCTTTTAATACAGAAGTTGCAAGGATTACATAACCAATACGCAGCTAAATTACTCACTGACTTTCACTTAGATTCTGATTAAAGTACTACCTACAAACCATCTTTCTTAGCTACAGTGAATATGTCTAAGTTTTCTTACTAAAAACAAAACTGTATTTTAAACTTTATTCCTTTAATTGATTTTTTCTGATTCTATGAAAAACATTCTAGCTATTAAAAATTAGGGAAATGGAATGAAGTCCCTCCAAATTTCATACCATGAAAATCATCACTCCTAATAGTTTAATGTATCACACTCTTTCAAACAGTTTCCTAGAATCACTAAATTTCAGAGTTGGAAAGGACCTCACAGACTGTATAATGCAATGCTCTAATTTACAACTGAGGCCCATAAATATTAAATTGTGTATGTCCAACCAGTTAATGACCTAACTAGAATCTAGGTTTTTAATTCCTAATAGAGTACTCCCTAGCCTGAAACAGTGAAAAGTGTCTCATACCCATCCAAACCACAAATAAAGACGCAAATATTTTTACCTCTGAGCGTCAGTTTTTGATCCAATAATGAACCTCAAAAAAAAAAAAAAAAAAAATTAGGTAAGAGTTATAAGAGCTCTGGAATTACTTCTGAAGTCTTCCATATTTTAGAGATAGTAATTTTATAAATTAATTTTAAATATAACAAGATATCATGGAAAAAATTTAAAAATACATTTAAACTTTTGTAACAATGACCAAGTTTTGCATGCATTACAAAAAATTGATATGAATGCTGATTAAAGGGAGATTTATTTTGGCACAAAACTTAAAACAAAATTTGGGGTGAAATTTACACCCTCAAGTGTCTGCCCTACAGCAAAATCACAGACGCACTGCCCTTCCTATCAATTTACCTGTGATCACACAGTCATTACTAATATCCACACAAAAGAACCTTAGGGTATATTTTAGCAAGTAAAAAAAGGAAGACAGTTTATCATCAATTCAAACGAAATGCCTTTAGCAAGTTTTTTTGAAGAGTCTGACATTTATGTGATTTCTTAACATATTAAAATAGTTTGCTTATTTTTTAATTACCAATTTGAATGATCATCTGCAGAGAAGCTGAAACATAAAATAAAAAAAAAACTTGGTTAATGCAGCTCAAACTTGAACTTCATAGTTATTAAAGCATGTAATTCATGAATATAAAAGAAAGACAGGAAGATAATAAATCATGCAGTGTTCTTGCAGTGACTCTCTGAGACAAGGCAAAAAATTAAATTCTCTTCTTGTTAAACAAATTTAGTCAGTTGGTTTGCTGGACTGATGTTTTTCTACTGTAATGAGAACATATACCCGTAAGTTCTAGAAAAGTCAATACATTTATTTAAAATGACCAATGAATGCCTTGACGGGGATTTTTTTTTTTTTTTTTTTTAAATATAGGTAATCAAAATATCTGACCTGTGCACTCTGTAAACAACAGAAACTGCTAGTGGGTTTTAAGAAAAAAATCAGCAGAGAATTCTCTGACTGCTGTTGCTAATTTCCTCCCATCCCTTTTACCTCGGTATTGGTGCAATTACTGTTTAAAAACCACCTTGCAACTGTAGTTTCTATTTGTTTTTTGTATAAGGCTCTATAAACCATGTAACATACACCTGGCCCCTTCCTTTTCTGCTGAGCTCCTCTTTATATTTTCTTCTTTTCAAAGTAGCATCAACTTGATTGTAAAACAAACAAACCTAATGATAAAGCCAATAATAAGAAACAAAACTAAAAACTCGTGCCCTAAACAGTTCATACAGGCTGGAAGATCAACTCCATTTCTAAAGAGAGTAACTATATTAACCACTGAGTCTGTGTTCTTACACAGGCAGTGATGTTCATACTAAAAAAAACCCATTGCCATCGAGTCAATTCCCACTCTTAGCGACACACAGGACAGAGTACAACTGCCCCACAGGGTTTCTAAGGAGTGGCTGGCGGATGTGAACTGTCGACCTTTTGGTTAGCAGCCTAACTCTTAACCACTGTGCCACCAGAACGCCGATGTTAATACCAGGCATCTTCAACAAGCTTTATGTTTAGTGAACATGCTTTCCACTTTAACTATTGCCCTGAAACACTCCACATTTACAGACAGGCACCCATAAATATACCAGGAAAGATGTCACAGGCATATCCTGTTAAGAAAGTATAAAAATGATAGATTTTTTTAAAAAGTATTATTTTAAATAACTCTTGAACAAGTTAACTATGATTTGCTGAGTTTACACAGGTCCACTGCCATATCTAATTCCCAAAGGGAAATCCATTTATTAATGCTTCATCAGGGGCTGCTCAGTAAGTGCCAGGTGCCTGAATTGGTCAATAACAAACTCCAGGTCAGTCTATCTCACAGCACTTACTGGGACGGAGACGCCTGACCGCCACCATCTTCGTCTTTACACGGCTGTACTTTACCATAGTAAAGCGGGTCCCCAAGTGACTGCACAATGGTCAGCTTTGTCTTCTGATACTGATTACCAGCTTCACATTCAAATACATAATCATCTTTTACCTCCTGAAAAAGGCAGAATACCCAAAATAAATACCTTCTCAAGTAAGTAAATAATCAGAATTAACAAAAATCAGGAAATGAATGCCACACTAACTGGTGTCTGGCAATAGAAGAAAACACGGCAGGTAGACTATAGAGCAGTTTGACTGCCTAATGGAATAAAGCACAGGACTCTTCCCTATATGGTACTTTGGAGGTGAAGGAGTGCCTAGGTGGTGCACAGGTTAACACACTCGGCTGCTAACTGAAAGGCTGGCAGTTTGAGATAACCCAGAAGCCTTGATGACCTACTTCCAAAAAATCAGCCACTGAAAACCCTATGGAGCACAGTTCTACTCTTACACCCACGAGGTCACCATGAGTTGGAACTGACTCAACAGCAACTGTTTTCTCTTTTTTTGTATTTTTTTCCCCCTGGGGAATGAGAGTTCCAAGGTGGGTATTTAGTTAACCAAGTTTAAGGGAAATATGGCAGAATGTCATATACTGAAGACATAAATTGCAAATATTAAATAATACCAGGAGGATAAAACCTTTGAAAGCAGTTATGCTTCTATTTCTCATAGGTCTTTTGCTGTTGTTGTCATCACACAAACACTGGTTAATCATTTCATTTCTCAAAAAACAAACCAACCAGCTGCCGATTCTGACTCATGGGGACCCACGTGTGCACAGCAGAACTGCTCCACAGGGTTTTCAAGGCTATGATCTTTCTGGAAGCAGATCGTCAGGCCTTTCTTCCAAGGCACTTCTGGGTGGGTGCAAACCGTCAACTTTTCGGTTAGTAGTTGAGTGCTTGATTGTTTGTGCCGCACAGGGACACCTACTTCAAGTAAAGATTATGCGGTCAGAGAATGTTCTCTGTTAGGAGACAGACATCTCTAGAAGAACTTACTAATGACTAACGTGAAATAGAAAACTAATCAGAACGACCAATACGCAACCAAAACAAAGTAAAAATGCATTAAAATTGGCCTTTAGAATTGAGACCGCGCTTTATAAAGAAAACATGAAAAACAGTTGTTTCTTCTCGTACTTCATGAAACCCCAGAAAATGTCCCAAACTAAAAGCAACTGCACTTTGTATTTAATAAATTTGAATCCTAGATTAGAAACAGCATTTCTACAAAGGGAGACTGGCAATAAATTACTTACGTGGGCTGGCCACACTGTCGGTTGTGAATCATCAGATTTGATAGACTTTTCCACTTTAGCATATTTCTCTACCTAAACAATCAAATCAAGAGACAACAGATACAATGGAATCAGTATTCTGATCAAAGGTAAAAATGTAAATAAATCAACAACACAATATAATTTTCAGCAGTTAAAATAACTGGCTTTGTGTTGTTGTTAAGTGCTGGCGAGCTGATTCCGACTCACAGCTGCCTCGTGTACAACAGAACAAAACACTGCCTGGTCCTGCGCCATCCTCACAACCATTGCTATGTTTGAGCCCATTGTTGCAGCCACTGTGTCAATCCATTTCACTGAGGTTCTTCCTCTTTTTCATTGACCCTTTACCAAACATGATGTCCTTCTCCAGGGACTGGTCCTCCTGATAATATGCCCAAAGTATGTGAGACAAAGTCTCGCCATCCTTGCTTCCAAGGAGGTTTCTGGCTGTACTTCTTAAAAGACAGATTTGTTTGTTCTTCTGGCAGTCCACGGTATATTCAATATTCTTTACCAGCACTTTAATTCAAAGGTGTCAATTCTTCAGTCTTCCTTATTCATTGTCCAGCTTTCACATGCACATGAGGTGATTGAAAACACCACTGCTTGGGTTGGGTGCACCTTAGTCCTTGAAGTGGTATCTTTGCTTTTTAACACTTTAAGAGATCTCTTGCAGCACATTTGCCCAGTGCAACTTATCCTTTCACTTCTTGACAGCTGCTTCCAAGGGTGTTGACTGTGGATCCAAATAAAAGGAAATCCTTTACAACTTCAATCTTTTCTCTGTTTATCGTGATGTTGCTTACTGGTCCAGTTGTGAGGATTTTTGTTTTCTTTATGTTGAGATGAAATCCATACTGAAGGCTGTGGTCTTTTATCTTCATCAAAAAGTGCTTCAAGTCTTCTTCATTTTCAGCAAGATTGTGTCATCTGCATATTGCAGGTTGTTAGTGAGTCTTCTTCCAATCCTGATGCCGCATTCTTCTTCATACGGTCCAGCTTCTCGGATTATTTGTTCAGCACACAGACTGAATAAGTATGGTGAAAAGATACAACCCTGACGCACACCTTCCCTGACTTTATACCATGTACTATCCCCTTGTTCTATTCGAATGACTGCCTCTTGGTCTAAGTACAGGTTCCTCATGAACACAACTGTTCTGGAATTCCCATTATTTGCAATGTTATCCATAAATTTGTTCTGATCCACACAGTCAACTGCCTTTGCATAGTAAATAAAACACAGGTACACATCTTTCTGGTATTCTCTGCTTTCAGCCAGGATCCATCTGACATCAGCAATGATAATCCCTCGTTCCATGCCCTCTTCTGAATCTGGCTTTAATTTCTGGCAGTTCCCTGTTGATGTACTGCTGTAACCGCTTCTGAATGTTCTTCAGCAAAATTTTACTTGTGTTTGATATTAACGATACTGTTCTATCCTTTCCACATTCTGCTGGATCTCCTTTCTTTGGAATGAGTACAAATACGGATGTCTTCCAGTCGGCTGGCCAGGTAGCTGTATTTCAAGTTTCGTGGCATAGACGAGTGAACACTTCCAGGGCTGCATCAGTTTGTTGAAACCTCTCAATTGGTATTCCATCAATTCCTGGAGCTTTGTTTTTTGCCAAGGCCTTCAGTACAGCTTGGACCTCCTCCTTCAGTACCATCATATCTTGATCATATACTAACTCCTGAAATGACTGAACTTTGACCAATTCTTTTTGGCACAGTGACTCTGTGTATGCCTTCCATCTTTTAATGCTTCCTGCGTCGTTTAACATTTTCCCCACAGAATCCGTCAATACTGCAACTCAAGGCTTGAATTTCTTCTTCAGTTCCTTCAGCTTGAGAAATGCAGAGCGTGTTCTTCTTTTTTGGTTTTCTAACTCCAGGTCTTTGCACATGTCACTACAATACTTTACTTTGTCTTCTCCAGCCACACTTTGAAATCTTCTGTTTGGCTCTTTTACTTCATCATTTCTTCCTTTGCTTCAGCTACTCTACATTCAAGAGCAACTTTCAGTGTCTCTTCTGACATCCATTTTGGTCTTTTATTTCTATCCTGTCTTTTTAACGACCTCTTGCTTTCTTCACGGATGATGTCCTTGATGTCATTCCACAACTCGTCTGGTCTGTGGTCATTAGTGTTCAGTGGGTCAAATCTATTATTGAGATGGCCTCTAAATTCAGGTGGGATATACTCACGATCGTACTTCGGCTCTTGTGGACTTGTTCTAATTTTCTTCAACTTGTATGTGAGCAATTGATGGTCTGTTCTAAGGCAGCCGCTGGCCTTGTTCTGAATAATGATATTTAGGTTTTCCATCATCTTTCCACAGATGCAGTCAATTTGGTTCCTGTGCATTCCATCTGGCTAGGTCATGTGTATAACTGCTGTTTGTTGTTGAAAAAAGGTATTTGTAGGAAGAAGTCGTTGGTCTTGCCAAATTCTACCATGTGATTTCAGGTGTTGTTTCTATCACCAAGGCCATATTTTCCAACTACCAATCGTTCTTTGTTTCCAACTTTTGCATTCCAAGTGCCAGTAATTATCAATGCGTTTTGATTGCACGTATCAATTTCAGACTGCAGAAGATGGTAAAAGTCTTTAATTTCTTAATCTTTGGCCTTAGCAGTTGGTGCATAAATTTGAATAATAATCGTATTAACTGGTCTTCCTTGTGGGCGTATGGATATTGTCTTATCACTGTAAGAGTTGTACCTCAGGATAGATCCTGAAATGTTCTTTGAGATGATGAACGTGACGCCACTCGTCTTCAAGCTGTCTGATTCAAAATGGCCAATACGACTCCGTTTCAGCTCTCTAATGCCTAGGATATCAATGTTTATGCATCCCATTTCATTTTCGATGACTTTCAATTTTCCTAGGCTCATATTTCATACATTCCACATTGCAATTATTAATGGATGTTTGCAGCTGTGTCTTCTCATTTTGAGTCGTAACACATCAGAAAATGAAGGTCCCGAAAGCTTGACTCCATCCACGTCACTGAAGTTGCCTCTACTTTCAGGAGGCAGCTCTTCCCTGATCGTATTTTGAATGCATTCCAACCTGAGGGGCTCATCTTCTGACACTGTATCAGACAATGTTCTGCTGCTATTCATAAGGTTTTCACTGGCCAATTTTTTCAGCAGCAGACTATCAGGTCCTTCTTCCTAGTCTGTCTTAGACCGGAAGTTCAGCTGAAACCTGTCTAACAAGGCTTTAAGAGTTTTGTTTAAAAAAAAAAAAATGGCTTTAAGCTTAATAAAAAAAAATCAGAATCACTTTTTTCTTTATTGTGCTTTAAATGAAAGTTTACAGTTCAAGTTAGTTTCTCATACAAAACTTTATACACACGCTGCTATGTGATGCTAGCTGCACTCTCCACAGTGTGACAGCACACTGCTCCTTTCCATCCTGGATTTCCCATGTCCATTCAACCAGCTCCTGTCCTTTCTGCCTTCTCATCTCACGTCCAGAAAGGAGCCGCCTATGCAGACTCATGTATCTACTTGAGCTAAGCAGCACATTCCTCATGAGTATCATTTTATGTCCCACAGTCCAGTTTAATCTTTCTCTAAAGAGTTGGCTTCGGGAATGGTTTTAGTTTTGGGTTAACAAGAGAGTCCAAGGGCCATGTCTTGCAGGGTCCCTCCAGTCTCAGTCAGACCATTTAAGTCTTATCTTTTTACTAGAATTTGAGTTCCGAACCCCCCTTTTTCTCCTGCTCCATCAGGGACACTCTGCTGTGTTCCCTGTCAGGGTGGTCACTGGGGGTAGCTGGGCAATATCTAGTTTTTCCAGTCTCAGGCTGATGGAGTTTCTGGTTTATGTGGCCCTTTTGTCTTTTGGGCTAATATTGCCTTGTGTCTTTGGATGCAGAACATTTTCTTAATAAACTTTGTTATGCTAACTGACCTAGATGTCCCCTGAAAGCATGGTCCCCAGACCCTCGCCCCTGCTACTCTGTCCCTCGAAGCGTTTGGTTGTATTCAGGAAACTTCTTAGCTTTTGGTTTAGTCCAGTTGTGCTGACTTCCCCTGTAGTGTGTGCTGTCCTTCCCTTCACCTAAGGTAATTCTTGTCTACTATCTAGTTAGTGAATATCCCTCTCCCTCCCTACCCTCGTAACCATCAAAGGAGGATAACCATCAAAGAATGTTCTCTTCTGTGTTTAAACCTTGAGTTCTTACTAATAATGGTCTTATACAATATTTGTCCTTTTGCAATTAATTTCACTCAGCATAATGCCTTCCAGATGCATCCATGTTGTGTTTCATAGAGTCATCGTTGTTCTTTATTGTTGCATAGTATTCCGTTGTGTGAATATACCATAATTTATCCATTCGTCTGCCAATGGGCACCTAGGTTGCTTCCATCTTTTAGCTATTGTGAACAGTGCTGCAATGAACATGGGTGTGCATGTATCTATTCGTGTGACGGCTCTTATTTCTCTAGGATATATTCCAAGGAGTGGGACTGCTGCATCGTATGGTACTTCTATTTCCAGCTTTTTAAGGAAGCTCCAAATTGATTTCCGAAGTACCATTTTACATTCCTACTAGCAGTGCATAAGTGTTCCAGTCTCTCCACGACTTCTCCAACATTTACTAGTTTGTGTTTTTTGGATTAGTGCCAGCTTTGTTGGCATAAAATGGTTCTCAATGTAGTTTTGATTTGCATTTCTCTAATGGCTAATGATCGTGAGCATTTCTTCATGCATGTGTTAGCCACCTGAATGTCTTCTTTGGTGAAGTGCCTGTTCATATCCTTTGCCCATTTTTTAATTGGGTTGTCTCTTTGTGGTTCAGGTTTGGCAGTATCTTATAGATTTTAGAGATTAGACCCTGATAGGATTTGTTGTAGCCAAAATTTTTTCCCAGTCTGTAAGTTGTCTTTTTACTCTTTTGGTGAAGCCTTTTTATGAGCATTAAGTGTTTGGTTTTTAGGAGCTCCCAGTTATCTTGTTTCTCTTCTGGTGTTTGTGCACTGTTAGTAATGTGTCGTGTTCTGTTTTTGCCCTGTATTAGGGCTCCTAGTACTGGCCCTATTTTTTTGTCGATGATGTTTATCGTTTTTGATTTTATATTTAGGTCTTTGCTCCATTTTGAGTTCATTTTTGTGCATGGTGTGAGGTATGGGTCTTGATTTTCATTTTTTTTGATGATGGATATCCAGTTACGCCAGCACCATTTGTTAAAGAGACTGTTTTTTCCCCCATTTAATGGACTTTGGGTCTTTGTCAAGTATCAGCTGCTCATAGGTGGATGAATTTACATCCGGATTCTCAATGCTGTTCCACTGGCCTAGGTATCTGTTGTTGTACCAGTACCAGCCTGTTCTGACTACCATGGTGGTATAACAGGTTGTAAAATCAGGTAGTGTGAGGACTCCCACTTTGTTCTTCTTCAGTAATGCTTTACTTATCCGGGGCCTCTTCCCTTTCCATCCAAAGTTGGTGATTTGTTTCTTCATCTCCTTAAAAAATACTGTTGGAATTTCGATCGGGATTGCACTGTATCTGTAGATCACTTTGCGTAGAACTGACCTTTTCACAATGTTGAGTCTTCCTATCCGTGGGCAAGGCATGTTTTTCCACTTACACAGGTCTCTTTTGGTTTCTTGCTTAATGTCTTGTAGTTTTCTTTGTATAGGTCATTTATGTCTCTGGTTAAATTTACTCCTAAGTATTTTGTCTTCTTAAGGACTATCGTAAATGGTATTGATTTGGTAATTTCCTCTTTGAAGTTCTCTTTGTGAGGAATTCAACTGTTTTTTGTATGTCTACCTTGTTTCCTGATACTTTGCTAAAATGTTCTATTATTTCCAGTAGTTTTCTTGTGGATTCTTTGGGGTTTTCTAGGTATATAAGATCGTATCACCTGCAAATATAGATACTTTTACTTTTTCCTTACCAATCTGGATGCCCTTTATTTCTTCTTTCTAGCCTAACTGCTCTGCCTAGGAACTCCAGCACAATGTTGAGTAAGAGTGGTGATAAAGGGCATCCTTGTCTGCTTCCCATTCTCAAGGGGAATGCTTTCCGACTTACTCCATTTAGAATGATATTGGCTGTTGGCATTATATAAACGCCCTTAATTATATTGAGGAATTCCCCTTCTATTCCTGTTTTGCTGACAGTTTTAATCATGAATGGGTGCTGGACTTTGTCAAATGCCTTTTCTGCATCTACTGATAAGATCATGTGGTTCCTATCTTTTGTTTCATCAATGTGATGGATTACATTGTTTTTTTAATGTTGAACCATCCCTGCATACCTGGTATAAATCCCACTTGGTCATGGTGAATTAATTTTTTGATATGTTGTTGAATTCTATTGGCCAGAATTTTGTTGAGGATATTTGCGTCAATGTTCATGAGGGATATTGGTCTGTAATTTTTTTTTGTAGTGTCTTTACCTGGTTTTGGTATCAGGGTTATGCTGGCTTCCTAGAATGAGTTTGGGAGTATTCCATCTTTTTCTATACTCTGAAATATCTTTAGAAGCACTAGTGTTAACTCTTCTCTGAAAGTTTGGTAGATCTCTCCAGTGAAACTGTCAGGGCCAGGGCTTTTTTTGGTGGGGAGTTTTTTAATCGCCTTTTCAATCTCTTCTTTTGTTATGGGTTTCTTTAGTTGTTCTACTGCTGTGTTAGTTTAGGTAGGTAGTGAGTTTCTAGAAATTTGTCCATTTCCTCTAGGTTTGCAAATTTGTTAAAAAGTACATTTTTTCATAGTATTGTTATGATTCTTTGAATTTCAGTTGGGTCTGTTGTGATATCACCCATCTCATTTCTTATGCGGCTTATTTGCTTCCTCTCCTGTTTTTCTTCTGTCAGTTTGGCCAATGGTTTACCAATTTTGTTGATCTTTTCAAAGAACCAGCTTTTGGTCTTGTTAACTCTTACAGCTGTTTTTCTATTCTCTATTTTGTTTAATTCTGCTATAATTTTTATTATTTGCTTTCTTCTGTTGCCCAAGGGCTTCTTTTGCTGCTGTCTTTCTATTTGTTGGAGTTGTAGGGTTAATGTTTTGATTTTGGCCCTTTCTTCTTGAATGTGTGCACTTATTGCTATAAACTGACCCTGAGCACTGCTTTTGCTGTGTCCCAAAGGTTCTGATAGGATGTGTTTTCATTCTCATTTGATTCTGTGAATTTCTTTATTCCGTCCTTAATTTCTTCTATAACCCAGTAGTTTTTGAGCAAGGTGTTGTTCAGTTTCCAATGGTTTCACATTTTTTCCTTGCTTTTTCTGTTATTGATTTCTACTTTTATGGCTTTATGGTCAGAAAGGATGCTTTTTAATATTTCGATGCTGTGGATTCTGTTAAGGCTTGCTTTATGGCCTAATATGTGGTCTATTCTGGAGAATGTTCCATGTGGGTTGGAGAAGAAAGTATACTTGGCTGCTGTTGGGTGTTCTGTGTATGTCTATGAGATCAAGTTGGTTGACTGTGGCATTTAGATCGTTACTGAGCTTCTTTCTGGATGTTCTGTCCTTCACTGAAAGTGGTGTGTTGGAGTCTCCTACTATTATAGTGGAGCTGTCGCTTTCTCTTTTCAGTGCTGTTAAAGAGTTTGTTTCGAGCCCTGTCGCTGAAGTATGTAAATATTTATTATGGTTATGTCCTCCTAGTGTACTGACTCTTTAATCATTATATACTGTCCTTCTTTATCCTTTGTGGATTTTACTTTAAAGTCTATTTTGTCAGAGATTAACATTGCCACTCCTGCTCTTTTCTGTTTGTTGTTTGCCTGATATATTTTTTTCTACCCTTTGAGTTTTAGTTTGTGTCTTGTGTCTTTAAGTCTAAGGTGTGTCTCCTGGAGGCAGCATACAGACGAATTGTGTTTTGTATCCATTCTGCCACTTTCTCTTTATTGGTGCATTTAGTCCATTTACATCCAGCATGATTATTGATAGGTATGGGTTTAGTGGTGTCATTTTGATATCTGTTTTCTGTGTTGCTGAAAGTTTCCTTGTTCCACTTTATCTTCTGTGCTAAGTCGTTTTTCTTTTTATCTTTTTCATTGTTGTTAGAATCACTTTTGTCATTAAATAAACCTAATAAACACAGCTGCTCTCCTGGATAGTGCCTCTTCATTTTAGTTTCTAAACTGACATCCCATTTGTCTTTTACAGCCTTTCCTTTAGAAAAACTGGGATGTTGAACAGAAGATTAAAAACCAGCATCTTTTTACTTTAGCTTAGTTTTTAATGGAACAGGAGCTGTCATGTAATAGTTTGGACAAAACTGGAAGATGACTGGGGAAGATATAATGTTAAAGATGAGAAGATTTTTGTGACACTTTGCCATATTCTAGTCACACTTGGGCTACGAGTCTATGTGAATCAAATGTTCTTATCTTTCTAAGTCTAAAGTAAGTAAAACTCATGTGAGTACTTATTAAAAATATAAATTCCCATGTCCCTCCCCTGGATAACCTGATTCAGTAAGTCTGAAGTTAGGCTTGAAACATGTATGTTTAACTGGTACCGTGATGATTCTTCTGATCCAGTGAGACAAGAACCTTGACATCAGGGCCTTGCTGCTTACAGTGTGGTGAGCCCAACATCTGTACTGTCTGGGACCTTATCAGAATTGTAGCATCTCAGGCCCTAATCCAAACTCGCTGAAATGGAATCTACATTTTAACAACCTCCCTGGTGCTCTGTATGTACATTAAAGGTTGGGAAGCAAGGCTTTGGATATCCGACCCTTTGTTATTTACAGTAAACATCTATTCACAGGCCTTGTTCCTCGAGGAGCACATAAGCTACCAAAAAATAATTTTTCTCCTTCCAGTTGTATAAACACAGTACTTTTGTTATTTCTGGCTTTGTGCTTTTCACAATGTTGGTTTTTTTTTCCCCGTAGGTAATATGCAGAATAAGGAGTCCTGGTTGCCCAGTGGTTAAGTGCTTGGCTGCTAACCGAAAGGTTGGTGGTTTGAACCCACCAGTAGCTCTGCAGGAGAAAGATGTGGCAGTCTGCTTCTGTAAAGATGACAGACTAGGAAACTCTATGGGGCAGATCTACTAAGAGTCAGAATTGACTTCACAGCAATGGGTTTGGTTCTTTTTGGTTTTAATATGCAGAATAGTACATGTGCTAGCCTGGCAAGGAAGCAAAAGAAGAATAGCCAGCATCCATCAGAATACCTGATTTTAAAGAGTGGAGTGAATAATGAAAAAGGAAAACAGGAGAAATAGTAAAATAAAAGAAATACAGGATTTCTTGTCAAAACACCCCTCTCCTGTCTTCAATCATTTATAGTTCATATGTATCATGGATCAGCAAAGATTACTAATTTTTAAATAATTTAAAAATATTTTAAATGTAAATAAAGAAGCATTATTAAAAAAGTATGAAGAAATACTATGAAAAAACTAGAGGAATTTCATGTGTATTATGTAACATGAATGACACTATTCCACATTTAAAAAACTTGTTTTGCTTATTATTCCTGCTCTAAACATAGAAGCAAATTTAGGGATTAAATTCATTACCCAACTTAATATGAAAGAAAAATACACAGCTTCTAAAAATAAGCAGTGAATTCAAAAAAAAAAAAAAACAATGATTTTGTTCTTTAAAGAGGTAAATTTTTCCCCAAACTATAAGCTACCATTAATCAAACTTAGGAACTTTACATAAAAAGAAACAATTCATGGATTGACTTACATCCACTTCAGAAGGTATGGCCAAATTACAGGGACTCTGTTTCCACATATCTACACACTGAAAGATTAAAAATAGTATAAATGCTCTGAAAATTCAAAATGAGGCAAGGTTTGTGCCACATTAATAAGCTTCATTTAAAAGTATATACTTACATTTCCTGCTTTAGAGATTTTGAGGTCATAATGCTGACCTGCTTTTCTTTCTTTTCTTTTTTGTAAGAAATCAAGTAATTTTAGCTGAGGAGGAGGTGGGCAATGAGACAGATCCTGCTGCCGATTGAGAGAAGACCTAGAATACCTCTTGAAACACCTGAAACATTAAGAGATTTGAACTAAACAAAGCTTGTAGAAGAAACTCATAATATGTATTGGTTTAACCAGTAAGCACTGACTATTCAATGAAATTACGAAAATTTATAGAACACTATCACATACCAAGCAGGGTCCTAGACAATGGTGAAATAACAATGAACAGGCAAATAAAATTCCTGCTGCCACGGAGCTGGAGCCCTGCTGGCACAGTGGTTAAGAGCTCAGCTGCTAACCAAATGGTCAGCATTCCAAATCCACTAGCCACTCCTTGGGAAACCTTTGGGGCAGTTCTAGGGTCGCTATGAGTCAGAATCGACTCAAAAGCAATGCATTTGGGTTTTGGGAAATGGAGCTGATACTTGGGGCAGGGTGGGAGGGAAGACAAGACATTCACAAGTAAACAGGTAATTTCAGACAGCAATATGCTTCTCAGAAAAAAAAGAGGGTACTGCAGTAAATGATAGGGAGAACAACATAAAGGAAGGGAGGAAAAGGAAACCAAGAACTCTAAGCAGAAAAGACATGTGAGCTGAGCATAAATGATGAGAAGAGGCCATGGGAAAATCAGGGAATGAGTACTGAAGTAGAAAAAATTTTTAAAAGTACTGACGTAAGAACAAACTCGTTTTTTTCAAAAACAGAAAAAAGTAGCTATGATTGACGCACCAGAAGCCACATGGTAGGAAATGAGGAAGATAGCAAGGCAGGAACCTTGCAAGTCACAGCAGAGTGCTTACGTTTAAACTGAAGTGCAGTGGGGTGCTTTTAGAGGAATGTGAGCAAGGGGTGGCGTGATCTGATTCGAGGTTTGGAAAAAATTACTCTGGTTGCTTACGTGGCAAATAGACTGGAAGGGAGCAAAGGTGGAAGGAGGAAGACCAGTCAGGAGTTTTTTACAAAAGTCAAGATGATGATGATGGTGGCCTGCGGCAAAGTATTGGCAGTAGGGCTGGAGAGACTGGATAGGACTGCTGATGAACCCTATATAGACTTATTTTACTCTCTCCAAAGCCATACCTTTTCCTCAGCATAGACAAAATTATAAAATTTAGAAAATGGATAGGTTTTTTGAGCTCCTTCAAATTTGAAGAAGATCTGAACGGGCAACCCAAATGATTATTTAAAGATTACTTACTGATAAGCCAATTACAACTGCAATCCAAATTAATATGTACTGTTTCATTTATTAAATAGAAGGGACAGCTAAAACATTTAAGAGATAATTACCAGACTATAAAAAGATAATTATTTAGTTACAAACTGACTTCTAAAACTTGATCATATTTTCCCAAATCTAAAAAACAATTATGATTTTCTTTAAAGTTAAGATTTCCAAAAATTATTCTTTCTGTTCCAACTTCACCTCTTCTTAGCCACTGCCTTTTTGGTGAACAGATTATAAATTTACAGGGAGTTTGCTCTTTAAAAGATGGCACAGTAGGTATTACTTCAATATCAAGGAGAGACTATTCAAAAATCACAATACTCACAAAAGAAAAAAAATAAAACCATGTTAAAAAAAGAGCACTTACACTTCGGAAAGAAAAAAAAAAAAAAAAGAAAAATTGAGAGCTATTTGCAAAGGAACATCTTTTTGTTCACCCCTTCTCCGAGGCAATTACCGTTTCAATGGGCGTGTGTTCATCTTCTGCTTGTTATAGAGCAGTCTGTTAACAGTGCAGGCTACTGCTACAGAAGGGTCAAGACACAGTGGTTCAGCTGTAGCCAAGATCAGTTGGCTCTCAAGCAACAGTTTGTCTTCCTGAAATGTATAAGAGCATATCAATACCAGATTTAGGAGCTTCAAATACGAAACCATACGTAAAACTTAACCTAGCGAATATTCCTTAGAACTTTGCTAAGGGTAACAGTAAAATACCATAGTTCACATTCCAACTTTCGTATGTAAACTAAAGAACCTTCTAATGAAAATAATTCGTGAAGTGTGCTAAATGGTCACACAGTAAGAGTGCCTATTGATTAATTAAACAAATATTTACCAAGCACTACTATGTGTTAGGCATTGCTCTATGAGTCAGGGATAAAACAGCGAGCTGAACTGATAAAATCCTGTCCTCCCAAAGCTTAGAGGGTCATATGGATGACCGCACTTTTTCTCAGTAACTGAGAGATAATGGTCACATTCAGCTTAACTATGTCACAAGATTAAAAAAAGACTACACTAATGTTATGCAAATTTGACATACTGAATTCCAAACAGTATATAGGTTTTTACTGGCATTCTATAACTTACTCTACTGAATTTTATTATTTTGCTCAACTCTTAAAATATTTCAATAGTTATAACTAAATTTTTAAATAATATTTTATTGTGTCTTTGGTGAAGGTTTATACAGCAGTTCAGGTTTCCATTAAACAATTTCTACACAAATTGTTCAGTGACATTGGTTACATTCTTCAATGTGTGAACTTTCTCAATATTTTCGTTCTGGTTGTTCCACTTGTAACTAAATTCCTAGAAGTCAAATGTTAATCAACAGCGTTCCTGAACAGAAATTTTCGCAAAAAAAGAAAAAAAAAAAAAAAACTTCTTTCCATAGTTTTATTCAACTTTCTATTATGAAAAATTTCTAACATACACAAAAGTAGAAGGAAAAGTGTAATGACCCTACGTATCCACCACAAAAAAAAAAAACAAAAAACAAAAACCTTGTTGCTGTTGAGTTGATTCTGACTCACAGCCACCCTACAGATCAGAGTAAAACTACCCCATAGAGTTTCCAAGGAGCGGCTGGTGGATTTCAACTGCTGACCTTTTGGTTAGCAGCTGAGCTCTTAACCACCTCATCACGACGGCTCCGTGTATCTAACACCCAATTAAACTGCTGCTCCCAGAACATTCTTGGTTGTTCGTTTCACTGGAGTAATTTAAAATACATCCCAGATATCATTATCATTATACCTGGAAATACTTTAGTAAACATCGCTAACTGATAAGAAACTCTAATATTCAGTGCAGATAAAATTTCCCCCCCAATGTCTCAAGAGTGTATTTTTAATTTGTTTGAATCCAAACTCAAACAAAAACCCGTTACCGTCGAGTAGGTACCAACTCATAGTGACCCTACAGGACAGAGTAGAACTGCCCCCATAGGGTTTCCAAGGAGCAGCTGGTGGATTCGAACTGCTGACTTTTGGTTAGCAGCCGCGCTCTTAACCATCGCACCACCAGGGCCTAAAGATTACATTCGGTTATTATACCTGTTAAGTATCTCTTTATTCTGAAATGATCACTTCTTCCCCCATCTCTTTTTTTTTTCCTCAGCCCTATGATTTGTCGGACTTGGCCAATTCCTTCCTCATAATATCATTTAACTGTATCTTTTATTTCCTAAATTCCCTACAAGCTTTTAGTTAGATCTAGAGGCTTGATTTAACTCAGGTTTTATTTTTTTAAGACAAGAATTCTTTACAGGTATTGTCGTGTGTCGTGTGCTCTCTTTTGCCTCACTGCAGGGGGCACACGGTGATTGATGTCCCACTTTTGGATAAGTAGGTTTAGTTACCCAATGTTTGCAACAGAACACTGCCCGTGGGGGGTGGCTTCCCATCAACCTTTCATCTCATGGTTTTCACATCTATGAATGACTCTTGTCTAGACTCAGTATCTCAATAAGAGTACCAAATTGATAATTTTGGTATAATTCTATCAGTCCTTTTGTAGCCGTTAGCTGGAATTTTTCTAAAGAATTTTTCCCCAGTTACTATTTGGTCATCTAAAATACAGTCCATACTGTATTTTACAATATGATAAAACAGGAAAATATTTACAGTATGATAAAATAGGAAAGGCAAAATAAATGCCATATTCTCTCCCTTTATATATCAACTTTCAGAAGAAGGGACTGGTGCAACCTCCAATAGTGAACAATGAATTTGTTTTTTATTACTTTTCCAAAAGCTTTTAATATTCTTGTAAAGGAAAAGATTATAGCCAAAACCAAAACAGAACACTTGGTAGTTATTAATGAATGGAGTCTTTATACTTCACAGAGAATAAAATGTTCATTACCGATGTTCTTTGGTTTAGTGATGATTACTCTAAATAGCAGAGAAATAAGTAAATACTCTTGTGAGTGGGCACCTCCTATATATTACTGAGACAGAACTGAAGGGTTAACTGCCTATTCCTAGGGGAACCAGCATGAATGAGAGAGACTGACTAGGCCTGTGTTAGAATCCAGGGGACAGAAAATCATCATCTGTTTGGATCCATGGTACAACCAACCAACCTCTCTCTGCTGTTTGAGAGGTGCTAAAAACTAACCTTCACACTGGGTAGACCAGGTCAGCCTGACTCTATGTCTCACTGGGAATGAAGCTCCCTGAGGGATTACTGCCATCTATGAAGAGACCCTGGACTTCTACTGCTCCTAAAGGAATTCCTGATCATTCTTCACAAAAGGTGTCAAACTTGACTGCTTAATAACAATATAAGCTGAAAGTATCTTTTGCTTAACATAATGATAATTATTGCTTCATCCTGTTTTTGCCTGTTTGGGATTAAAAAAACAAAAACAACTAACCTGGGTCCATTTATGGTTATCACTTGTTATTGAATGTACGTCACAGATCAAAGTCTAGAGAAAAATTTAAAAGCACATTAATGTACAGGCATACAAACATATGGATATAGTTAACAAATAAAACTACAACTAAAATTTAAAACAATACTTCCTGGTTAAACATTTCTTACCTGCATTGTTGGACGTAAAAGAATATGCCTACTTTGGTAACCAGGAGATTTCATATTACTGGACTGCCTGTAGTCACGTATTTCTGCTATGACACAGCCACAATGAAAAATATTAACCTGTATTGAGTGAAAACATGTAAGTAAATCTCATTTTTGGAAAGCATAAGTGAGAGGATTTGGGTAAAATGGTTCAGGTTCTTTACACTCTAATGCAGTATTTCTGGCTATTTGTATACTCTTAAATATATTTCCTTAGTGGATTTACTATTGTATAAACTGGCAAAGAAAAACTCTTTTATGTTTATTACTATGGCTGAAGGAGAAATCTGAAACTGTCGCATCATTTCTAGGTATAGAAATGTTACGTACTATTAAACGTCACCTATCACCGCCGTTCTTCTAAAGCTCGCTGCCTCCCAGTTATACGCTGCCAACTTTCTCACTGTTAAACAAAATTTGTCACTGTTATATTTTGCCAATCAACCTTACCAGAATTTCAGCCTCGGGATATAACTTCCTATTTGTCCAGAAATAAAGATTTAGACTATACTAAGAAGAGGAGGAAAAATAACTATAAATTCAAATAATAACCTTCCATTAAAAAAATATTGTTTTCTAGTCCTTTTTCTAAGAAGTCCTGGTGGTGCAGTGGTTAAGTGCCTGGCTGCTAACTGAAAGGTCAGTGGTTTGAACCCACAAGCTGCTTCAAAGGAGAAAGATGTGGCAGTCTGCTTCTGTAAAGATTACAGCCTTGAAAACCCTACAGGGCAGTTCTACTCTGTTCTACAGGGTTACTATGAGTTGGAACTGACTCAACGGAAACAGGGTTTAAGTCCTTTTTCTAAGTCCAAAATTAAGGACCCTTACTATTCAAGTCTTACCAATTATTACTCGCCAGTCACTCACAGTGCTGTTTTTTCACCCATTCAGAACTTTTAGTGGAAAGTGTGACCTCCACGTTATTATTCACTCTTATCCTCATTCTTTTAAACAAGTATTTATTGAGTAACTCCAATGTTCGCTATCCAAGAAGCTTCAGGATATAGTAGTGAGACAACATTTGCTCTCAATGTGGGAAGACAGGCAATGAATATGTAAACAAATAAACAAACAAGATACTTTTAGATAGTGATGAATGCTGTAAAGAAAATAAAATAAAGAGGGTCGAATTTAGACTGGGTGCTCTGGTAAGAACCTCTTTAAGAAGGGACATTTCAGCTGAGAACCAAATCACAAAAAAGGGCCACCACCTGGGACAGATCATTCCAGACAGGAGTAGGAGGTGAGGCCTAAAGGGAAAAAATAAGCTTGGTGTGTTTTAGTAGGAAGAGAAGGCATGGGTCACTGGAGCGTAGTAAGTGAAGATGAGAGTTAAGAGATGAGGACAGACAGGAAGGGAGGTGTTTTGTGCAGCGAGAGGACACTGGAGAATTTTAAGCAGGAACTTTTTGTTTTGTAAGGTTATTCTGGCTGTCCCTAGTGATCAGATTTTGAGAGTTCTAGAATGAAAACGGAGTTCAGCCAAGAAATTTTGGCAATGGATCACATATTTTGAAGGTAGAGCTGACCATTTACTGACAGACTGAATGTGGAAGGTGAGGGAAAGAGACAAATTAAGAATGATTACTAGGTTTTTAATTCTAGTAACTGAGTAGTGTCACCTTTAGACTGGAGAGACTAGGGGTAGAACTAGTTTGGGAAATAAAATTATAAAGTTCTGTTAAGTTTGAGAAACCTATTAATTCAATATGAGAGGTTAGAGCTTGGTGGATTGGCCATGGCTACAGATATTACATGGCATTTTTAAACTCCTGAAATTAGTTGAGGTCAACCAGGAAGAGGGTTACTAAAGAATAAAGGGCCTGAGACTGAACCTTAAAACCTGCACACTCTTATGGGTAAAACATAGAAGGCAGCAGAGACTAAAGAATAGTGAAGGAAGAGGGAAACCAGGAATATGTGATGTCTCCAAAAAAAAAGTCAAAGAAAGGGTGTTACAAGGAGGAAGTGGTCACTTGCACTGGACGTTGCTAAGGGATCAATGAAGATGGGAACCAAAAAGTGAACAGCTGATTTGGTGCCATGGAGGTCCCTGGTTATGCAGTCTCTGTAGAATGCCATAGAGCTGAATGACGTGGGCAGAGAAAGAACAGGATGTGAGGAAGAGAAGACGATTATAGACAACTTTCTGAGTCAAGCTGCTGTCCAGAGGAGAGCTATAGAGCAATAGCTGGAAAAGACTTGTGGTCCAAGAAAGTTTTTTTTCTTCGTTGAGAGACAGTACAGTATACTTGTGTTCTGTATGCAGCAGAGAGAGAAAAATAAAGATAGATGCTAGAAGAGAGGTAGGTAACTGCTGCAAGTCCTGGAGAAGGAGGGGAGGAGCCAGAACACAGGTCCCTGGGGACATTTTAAGAGCAGCACACATTGTCCGTTTTAACAGGAAGGCAGGCACAAAGCGTGGACAGAGATGTGGGGATACTGGCCAACCAGTCCTAGCGGAGAACAGAAGTTCTCACGTGATTGTTTCTCTTTCCTCAGTGAAACACATAACAGGGCTGGAATTAACCAAGGGAGTAAGAAGGAAGGAGAGTGGGAAAAAGAAGTGATTACCTAGGCTGGGCATGAAGGGAAGTACAGATATAAAAGCCAGTTTCTGGTGTCTTCGTGCATATTCACAGTGATTTCTTTCATAATTTCCTGATTATAGCTATAAGGAGACATTAAACGGACGAGCTAATTGCCACAGCAGTTTTAGAAGAACTGACTAGCTCAGTCTGTATGCTTCAGTACAGCCTAAAGCTCCATGGTCCACAACTAGCCAATCACTACATAATCATGTATGATGTTTCATGTTTTAAACACTGTTGGGAACACTAGTTAACATTAAATATGACTTATCACAAAATACCTTATAGCTCACAAATATAAGGACATTCTAAAAAGAAAAATACTGTACCTGAGCTTTTTCCAGGAGATCAACCAAAATAGGAGGTAATTCTTCTGCATCCAAGTATTCAAGCAATTCCCCTTCTTCATAAGGCAATCGAATGGTCTCAGAATCTTAATTCAAAAACATAAATTTTCTTAAAGTAACCAAGCTCAAAGAAAAACCTAGGTACATAATTGAGTTTTCATAAAAAATAAAAATAAACAGAATAAAAAAAAGGCTCTTAATAAAGTTCTTCTTCATTTAAGTCTTATATATCAATTACCTTCCTTATTATGAAAAGACTCACTAAATTATATAAAATTTTTGACCAGAAAGGGGAAAAAAGCATAATGAAAGAACATATGGCGGTGGCCAAAGCTCAATTCAGAAGTGAAAAGTAAAACTGGCCTACGAACACAGCTCAAATCACAGTCAGCAGTACCACAATCAGAGTATGACACAATTCCAACATGAGAGTAATGGAAAGTTCCTTGATGACTGTTTAATCCAGCCTGGAAATTAGAGTGATAATTTGGTAACTCATCTGGAAAACAGTCACTTGCAGAACAAAATCCTCCAGTGTTACATTTTTAATTAATTATAAACACAAGAAAAAAATTTTAACTAGGTGAGTTCCTTGTAGAACCCATAACATTAGCATGACCATATCAAATTTTTCGATGCCTCTAGTGAAATCTGGTGTTTTAAATCTTTATTCTCATATTCACATTAACAAAAATATATTTTTGACATAAAAATTATCTAGAAGGCAGTGACTGCGTAATTTTGAAGGTTTCAGACTGAGTACGTTCAAAATGCAGAAGGAAGACATACCTTAAAATATCTTAATGCTATCATAAAATAAAAATATAAACGGCAATAGAACAAAAGGAGATTCTGACAATCGTTTAAAAGCGTGTCTTTTATAATTTGACACAAAAAACTCATCTCAATTAGAATATGTTTCAAGTACATACTCAGGAACAATAATCATATCTGAGATAATTTCTAACATTCTAACAAAGCACATCATGAAGAAGACAAACTGTGATCAAAATTCTGTTTCCATCACTAGATCTACACTCTTTCATGGACAAACCGTTTTGCAAGTTACCCTTCTTAAACAAACAGCACATTCTGCCTGGCAGAAGTATTTTTGTGGCAACTGCTTTCTGGAACATCTTACCTGATCCGTTTTTTCCCCTGAGCATCAGAGAATATCCCTCATTTCCTGGGTATAGGTTAACCACTAGACATGACAATGTCTCTTGCATAACAAGCTTCTCTAACAAGTTCACATTTCTTCTTAATTTCTGCTTTAAAAAGAGGCAGAGCTCATGAAAATGATCCAGTATAACCTTAACAAATAACACTACGATTTAACAAAATGAGACCTGAATTAATCTTTGGGTGCTCTTTCTACATAACGATCCTGAGTATTTGGGTAAGATGCACAAACTCCATGGACACCATGTACAGGACATCTATGCATCTATGTAACCTTAATTTTTATCTACTGCTAAATTTTATGTAAATTAATTTAATCATAAAGAAAAACTGGTAATCTATAAAACAAAAAATCTAAATATAAAATATGTAACTTTGAACGTATAAACAGAAAACATTAACATAAAAAAACAAAACCATTAAATTTAAATGCATAAAACATATATGCTATGTCATTTGTTTATATTAAGTATAAGTCTTATACAAATGAAGAATTCGGGGCATTCTCTGTGGTTCTACTGTGACAAGTACACATTCGTTACATATTTTATGGCCTAAATTAAATCCAAATTAAGTTCAACAGCTCTTAACTAGTTAAAATGTTAACCCAGAATAACTAACTAGTAAGAGGAAGTTCAGACGATTTTAAGTTCAATTTAACAGGTCCTTAGAAACCACTTTCATTGTTTATTTAAAAAAAAAAACCAGGAAATATCAGGCACATTCATCAAAATCAATGATTTTAGAAATGCATTTGATTTGAAATGAAACCTATTCATACATGTAACAATTCCTTTCACTAAATCTTATTTAGGAAAGCAATCTGAGTCAATAGATATTGATTTCTGTAGGATCTCCAAAAAAGAAATCTTACACATATATTTACATATACACATACAGTAAATATACCATAAAACTGATAAATATTGAGGCTAGGCACTACTAGAATTCCACTTTTTGCCTAAATGCTGAAAACTGGTTCGTTTTTGAATTAAATAAGGACAAGAAAAGCTCACAAGGCTCTTCCAAACCAAGTGTCCATAAGGTATTAAGAAATCAATTTCTATTACATTTCCACTACCTATACCTTTATACTGAATATCAATGAATTAAGTTACTCTGACTATGAACTCATTTTTGTGACCAAATTCACCTGTATAACGTTACTGCACAGATAGAGGTGAATATGGTTGGTCACAGAGAGCTCATGGGCAGGATGACTGAACGTTAGTAACACGTAAACCTCCTGCACACAGCTGTAATAGTTTTAATTCTCCAGTACAAATCACCATGAGGAAACAGTTACTCTTCCCCTGTCCAAAATCTAGAAATTACTTCCCAGGGTGAAGAAGGCGGCAAAGATGAACATATACTGTGGCTCTGCTTCCTATGATCTCCCAACCAGATATTCAGCTACTCAGTAAACACTGTTCCCACTCCCTACTTCAGCGGGTGATTTCTGCCCGGTGCCAGATTAGACAGGGCTCTGGATCAGCTGCGTAACCGGCAAGTTTGGCTGGAAAATATGTTAGTTCACTCACAAAAATATACACCATTAACTGCTTCAAAATTAAGTCCACCAAACTTCCTACTTCCTCTATATTTTGAAAGCCCCAATAACCATAAAAAATTTATATTTACCTTAACCTCTGGCTCTTTTTCACATTCTTCAATATATAAGTCATAAAGTTTTTGAAATACAGATCTTCTAAAAGAATTTTAACAAAGACAATATACAAAATAATGTTAATGTAATAATCATAAACATCACAAAATAAGTATTATTTTAACATTTTCCTTAATTTTATCCAATTTCCCCAAAATTAGGGGTGGGGTCTGATATAGTATTTAACATAAACTTAAAAATTGCTAATACATGCAAATAATATAACCTTCTAGCTCAGTACCTAACAGGAATGCAATAAATGGTGTTGGCTATCGTTACCATATTTCAATGAATCTAAGATGTCATCAATTAAGTGTTCATACCTTCCACCAGATAAGTATTTCCTTTTAGGAGGTCTCTGTCGGGCACTTTCAATGACATACTAAAAAAAGAAAAGTTTATGAACGTATCTTGCCTTTTACTTCGTGAAGGAACAAATACGTATATCTAAAACATCTGTAAGGCTAAAAAGGCTATTTAGTCACTCAAGCCTCTGATTCATGTTAAATTATACCCTGCAGGGAAAACTACTTAACTTCTAAATATATGTTACAAACAAGTGAAATTTAAAGTGTGCTAAAATGCAGCACAATGTTTCACTGCTATGCTGTAAGCAAAATCTTAATAGCTTCAGAATTGTGATTTCACAGGTCAGAAATATTCTCAGTATGTTTTACAGTTATTCAGAATATACATATGCATTTAAAACAGTATATCTAATTCCAGGACTCTACTTTTTAGCTATTTTCCTCCTTTAATCGAATAATCAGAAAACCTGTCAAACAGGGAAACGTAATTTTAGAAATTCTACGTTCTTGTTCAAATGCATTTTATTCTATAGCATTATGATCTAAGGATTCCAAGTAACAGACAATCCAAACATAACCTGTCATCTTCACATATTCATAGTAAAAGTATTCACATATCTGTCCTAAAATAATACACAAAAGTCTCTTAAGATTGAGTTTTTGTCAATTAAAGAGAATTTTAATATGTAACTTAGTCACGCCTCACCTCTGCACGATCCAAAGCTAGTTCTAAAGCTTGTTGCTGTAAAAAGTAAATAGTGTATTTGGTAATATTAGTGATTTTCACAATAAATAACTGAATATACATTCAACATTTCTAATTAAGAATTTAAAATGTGTTCTATTTTTTAAAATGGGCCTAATATATTTCCTTTAATTTCTCTAATCCACTGCATTGTATGCTGAAGACATGTTAAAAGAAAAAATGTGGCAGTCTTGGGCATCTGATTATGGCAACAAACTAGATAAGAAATGCTAAGACTGTTTTTCTGCGGTTTAAGCTTGTCAGGCTGTTACACAGGGTAGGATAAGGCAGCTACCACCATTTTTCTTGTCTGTTGCCTTCAAGTCCACGTCAACTCATGGCGAACCCATGCATGCAGAGTAGAACTGCTCCATAGGGTGTTCAAGGCTGTAACAGATGATCGGAAGCAGAAGCCAAAGGGGATTGCCAGGCTTGTCTTCCGTGACATACAAACCCCAATTTCTTCTACATTCGAAAAGCACAATACAGGAAACTCTACTAACCATAAAGTATGAAACTAAGACAACTCTCCTATCTGCTAAGAATCCTGAAAACTGGGAGTGCGGTGAGGTTTGGTACCTAATCATCAACTTAGAAATTCCTAACATATGCAAAGAACCTATAATATAGGGTTTCTAGCTCAGTGTCTAGAAGAAATGCATTAAATGATGGTCATCATTACCATATTACAATGAATTTAAGATCTATCAATTACATACATCATTATTTTATATAACATTAAGAAAGAAAGAGAAAAAAAACAACTCTGCCAGTTATAATTGTAGGATGTCACTGACTGTAGACTCATCCGGAATTCAGGGACTTTAAGATGTAAAAAAAAAAAAAAAAAGCATCTTAGAACTGATGAAATACAGTATTATTACTATACATAAGGGTTGAGATCTGCTAGATCCCCATCCTCTGTCCATTTCTTGAAGATCTTTATTTTAAGGAACAAGGAGAAATATAAAGTGATGTCTTCCTCATTTGTGAAGCTCTTTTACAATAACACATAAGAATAAAAAGTAGTAGGTTCTAGAGAAGTTTAAGCAAATGTACCATCAATGATTTATCTTTCCAGTTTTGTGATCTGGGTACCACACAGTTATATTTTTCATTCAGAATGCTAGTTATCTTTTAATTCCATTCAGAGGAAAAGAACCTTCATTTTTAAGAACTCAGATTCTTATTTTATTTTGCAGAATTCCATAATTCAACCTATCAAGTTGCATGGGGTAAAAAGTCTCAACTTTTACCAAAATCCCACAACTGTTCGGGGAAGAACAAAAATTCCCATCCTTTGGAAATACATGGAAAGGTTTAAGTGACCCTGACACCTCCACTATGGATAGAGAAATCACATCTATACAAATAGCTTGCCTTTACAGAGGGTAATCAAAGACAGCCCAAACATCTAAATGTAATAAAGTGGAAAAAGTCTGAACTTTGCCATTATTTCAAAAGGCTCGGTTAAAATAAGTTTATTAAAATTTATTTAAAAATCTTATAAGGAGGAGACTCTCAATAAACCTGGTTCCCAGGATTCAAGATGAAATTTTTGAGCATAACCTATTTTTTAGCATGAAAATATAATTCTGGATCTATACTCCTGAGGGATACATAAGGTTTTTAAATTATTTTGGCCATAGAGTCTTAAAATAAGTTTATATCAAGTAATTAAATAGATAGTTAAACATACACTATAAAAACCAAAAAAAAAGTTGCCATCGAGTCGATTCCAACTCATAGCGACCCTGTAAGACAGAGTAGAACTGCCCCATAGAGTTTCCAAGGAGAGTCTGGTGGATTTGAACTGCTGACCTCTTGGTTAGCAGCCACAGCACTTAAACCACTACGCCACCAGGGTTTCCAATGTACACTAGAGGATAATTTTAAATAGCCAGTTTTCTCAAGTAAACATTTTATCTTCTGAAATCAAAACTTCAAAAGGTCTAGTTAGATACAGACGCATGCATTTGTAAACACAAGCGTCATTCACTCACAATCTCCTTCAAATACTTAAGAGGGAAATGACAAGGTAACAAGAGTGTAAAACATAAGGAGACAGAACCCTACACTGATAGCTCCACTTTTCTGAAACAGGGGAGGAGGAGATATGCAAGATTCCAAGAGGAGAAGAAGGATGTGTGTTTTCCAAGGTTTGGTCAATGGTCACTTAATTCTCTCACACTCAAATGCTCCTTCCTCTTTAAAACATTAGAAAGTAAGTTTTTCCTTTTTTAATGGCAAAACTTAATGCCTGGTCTTCAGTACATCTGGTGACTGCAAGTCAGTAAACAGAAATATGCCATGGGAGAAAGGCCAGCACTGCTGTGGCTTAACATGTATGTGTTAGGCAATCAAGAGATAAATAGTAAAAAATGTTCGTTCTTAAATTAAAAAGAAAATTACAGAGAAATTGTAAAATATGAGAAAACTGTGCTCCACAAAACTATTTGTATTTATACTCATCTGCCTTGCCAAGGATTTGGACTTTGATAAAGTACACAGAATTAAATTTTTTTTTAATATTTCATGAAGACAGATGGACTATGTGTGTAAATTACATATAATTTAATTACAACACTGACTTGCAAGATGAGCATCGCATTTTGTAGAGAAGACTATGTGACTATTAAGTAATTTCCCAGTTAGAGAAACCTGTACAATTTACAAAAGTATTTCTGTATCTATTATACAAATATTTCCATGGAGATGAAAGAAGAGAACATTCTAACACGCTTCCAAAACACAAATTTGGAACTACTGAGTTGTAGCTTACCATTGTGGTACAAAATTGGAGTCCAAAAAGAAGAGAAAATTTATGTGCGTTGATGAAGTGGGGTGGAAATCATATCTTTAAACATCAATCTTATAGTACTGTAAAAGCAAAAACAACAAAAACCTCATATTAACATAAGACTAAACAAAGAGGGAAATGAGATTACTTAGTAATTAACAAGGAAAATTACTTGAGGCATGTACATTTTTAACATACTTTAAAAAATCTGTTCCCATAAAATTTATGTACCAAAATCTATCTGTTCATTCCTGAAAAGTACAGTTTGAACTAGGTAGAGCAGAATGCAGTTTGCAAGTTAAAATCATCACATTCTTCAAAAATATTTAACATCACTGGAGAGAAAGAGAGGAAATATCTCAATACAGGTTCCTTTAGAGAAAAGCACATCTTTCCCCAAAAACTCCTACGTAAAATAACTCTACTGGAAAGTACGTTTGTTTACAACTTCTGCAGATATAAGAAACTGTAAATCGAAAATTCAGTTTATAGATCCTTCGAGAGTAAAATACTATTTCAACTGGCCATAAAGTTCTATAAATCGTACCTTGTTATGGACTGAATTACTTCCCCAAAAATGTGTTGTAAATCCCAACCTCTATGCTTGTAGTTATAATCCCATTTTGGAACGGGCTGTCTTTGTTACGTTAATGAGGCAAGATTAGGATAGGGAGTATCTTGAGTCAACTTCTTCAGGGATATAAGAGAGAGAGTAAACAAGCAAGCAAGTGAACAGAGATGGGGTAAAACAGATGTCAAGACACATGGAAATCTCCAAGGAACCAGAAAGCAGAAGCTGAAGAGATAGGACCTTCCTCCAGAGCACACAGAGAGAAAGCCTTCCCCTAGAGCTGGCACCCTGAATTCAGACTTCTAGCCTCCTTAACTGTGAGAAAATAAATTTCTATTTATTAAAGCCATTCACTTGTGGTATTTCTGTTATCACAGCACTAGATAACTAAGACAGGATTTGGTACCGGAAGAGTGGGGTGCTGTTCTAACAAATACCTACAATGTGGAAGTGGTTTTGGCATTGGGTAGCGAGTAGAGGCAGGAAAAGTTTTAAGGTGCCTAACAGTAAAACCCCAGATTGCCCTGAAGAGACTGCTGGTACAATTATGGATATCAAAGGCAATTCCGGGTTCAGAAGGAAGCGAGAACTACAGAAAAAGTCTCTATCATCTTAGAGAATATACACGTGGCGGCGCCAGCAACAAGAATGTTGCTAGAAATGTGCACGTTAAACGTACTTCTGGTAAGGCTTTAGAAAAAAATGATGAACATGTGATTCGACAATGGAGGAAAGGCAATGATTTTTATGTACTAGCAAAGAACTTGTCTGAATTATGTTCAAATGTTTGGTGGAAGGTAGAACTTTTAAGTGATGAACTTAGGTATCTGGCTGATGAGATTTCTAAGCAAGATCTTAAAGGAGCCACGCGGTTTCTCCTTGCTGCTTATATTAAAATGTGAAAGGAAAGAAACAGACTTAAAAATGAACTGTGCAAAATGGAAAAAAAATTAAAGATTTAGAAAATTCTATTGAACAAACTCCTGGAATGCTCACCAAGGACATGGCTACACAATCTTTTGTTAAAAAAATTACACCTGTACTGATGGATCTAACCAACTAACACAGCAGAAAACCCATCAGCTTAATCTGAAGGAGACAGAAAGAACGAAAATGGTGTCTGCGTCTTGGAAATCTACAGGCAGGAAACAGAATGTGAGAAAATAAATTTGTCTGTTAAAGCCATCCACTTATGGTATTTGTTACAGCAGCACTTGGTAACTAAGACATACTTCAAAACGGTTTTTTAAATCTCTTCTCTGTACCGTTCCTTGTACCGTTCTTTTGCTGCTCATCATTTTTCCTCTGGACTATTAACAACAGCCTGCCCACCGGCCTTGTTCACTGTGTAGTCATCATACCTGCTGATAAAAAGCCCTCTAATAATACGCCCCTAAACACCTCAGTCTACATTTTCCAGAGGAAGCTCCAGTCTCTATAACCCTTTCCCTCCTCAAGCAACCTAGATATACTTCTGAAATATCTCTTTCCTCTAACACAGGGATTCTCATCCTGGCTACACAACAGTCTAACTCGGGAGTTTTAGAAAGTGGGAAGTCCATGCCCCACTCCACCCTCAGAGATTGTGATTAATTGGTCTTGGGTGGGGCCCACCGATCAGTATTTTTAAAGCTTCCCAATTTAATCAAATTTACTGCCATGTCAAAGACCAGTTTTGTAACTGGAGTATCAGTGTTACCCTGTCACATTTAGCTATATCCTCAGAAGGTACATGTTTGGTCCAAGAGTGATGGTAAATAAAGCTAATTTCCAATCTAATTCTTTACTCAACTCCTTGTAACTACCCTCGTGAACTACGCAGCTGAGCTAAAGCGTAATTTTCTAGTGACAGGAAACAAGATTTTCTGTGTAAAACTGTTTTGCTTTGTTTTGTTTCTGATGAACCCAAAGCTAAGGTTTTCCTAATTTAGGTTCAAAAAAAGGAAAAGAAAGAAAAAGTAAAGAAGAAAACGACCAAAAAACAGCATGGGCTGAGCGCCTAATGCAAGATATTCACCGTGCTAGGTTCCAGGAATAAAAAAAAAAACAAACTAAAAAAAAGCATTAGCCTCACCCTCGCAGAGCTCATAGGAGTTTAAGCTGAATTTAGGTAATCTGAACAATTTCTGACCACCAAATCTAAAGCCGAAGACAAAATATGTACAAGCAAAATGTGATGACTTTAAAATTTGATTTGGCGTCACTAAATTGGGAGAGGCTTAGGAACTTTACCTAAGCACTACAGAAAAGTACCAGTAACTAACTTCACATGCCACTTACAACCCAAGCATTCTGACTGGACAGAGAATTTAATAGGACCCTATGAGAAAACCAGTCATTATCATCACCTTCTCTATTTTACGGAAGAGGCTCAAAACGA